GAGAAAACTGCTACATCTTAGGCTACAAGTTGTTTTGTTGACTTGGTCCTTTCTCTCCAAGATGGTGATAAATGAATAAATATATATATTTACTTTTATATTTCTGTGTAATAAAGAGGCTATTATGTACTGTATGTGTGTGTCATTTGTGTTTTGCAGACTTACGGTAATAATTGACAAAAGCTTTTAGTGAACTAAAGAAGAAGCTGTCATAACGGACAAAGAAACCACAGAGGAAATTAAGCAGCAGCTTTCTTACACATAAAACAAATGAAAACTCATTGGTAAGATAACCCCTTCCACCTCCCAAAAAAATATATTTTAGTTAAGAATGTGACATTATGTTACAGCAATACATTTATAAATGTAGTGATTGCAAAATTATCCATGTCCTTTATATATATAAATATATAGATATACGTAGATAGATAGACATATATAAAGCTTTTTTCAGCTTCTGTTACACCTTTTTCTGCCCACACAAACATTCATCAATCCAGTTAAATAAACTCATAAAGTTTTAGAGATAAATGATTTTTGGCCTTTTGGGTTCAGAATGGTTTAGTTTGATGATGTTTATTTTCCATAACTATGACTACACTCTACTTTCTGGAAGAACTTTTACATGAGGAAGTTAAACAGCTGACCAAAACCTCTGTGACACTGAAGTCAGCTCATACTCCTGTTCTTGTCCTGCTATAATTACATGAAAAAAACTGACACTTGACAGTGAAAACGTGTTGCTTTTTCAGAGACTTTAGACTCTGCATGTTTGTGGTTTTGTAAAAAAAAAAAAAAAGGGACAGATCCCTTATTTTAAAAACCAAATGAATATTTTGGAATAATAGTTGCAGCAGAAACTGGCTGTCTGTTAGTTAGGTGATAAACTCTTTGTGGGGGAGTGGCAGCCTAGTGGTTAGGGCATTGCGCTTGGAATCCAGAGGTTCACTCTCACAGACTGACACTCTCTGGGTCCCTGAGCAAGACCCTTAACCCCACCCTGCTCCCCGGGCGCCGCACAATGACAGTCAACTGCTCCCCAAGGGGATGGGTTTAATGCAGAGAGTAAATTTCATTGCTCTGTACTTGTGACAGTGTAAAGACAATAAAAGCCGGAAAAAAGAAATAATAAAAAAAACTTTTTAGCCATTCAGTTCCTACATGGTTTTTGCAGTAGGAACCTGGATCTTACTCAGGTTCTCCCCTCGAAAATCGGTACCTGAGAAGATTGGGTCCCATTTTAAAGTAAAACAATAATTATTGCCTTGAATTAAAATGTATTTAACTATTTCTATAGTAATGTATCATCATAATACAATAAAAACAGTATTTCTTTTTTGTATTATGTTTAAGCAGAGGATATACTGTACTTGTATATCAGTAAGAAAGTTCAAAACGTTTATGAATAAACGGAACTAAGGTGGAGCAGCTGAGGATCTGTGGCTCATGGCGAATGCAGGAGGGGGGCGAGGCACAGCACAATCACAGACGCTCTGTGGGAAAAACACAGGTACGTGACCACGATCATCTGACAGAAGACGATGATCTAAGTGAGTCACTTACCTGGTTTTATAGTTCAGTCCATCTCCCTAGAAAAGGGGTGCGATCCAGCCGATTGGCGGGCGACTGACGTCACCCAGAGTGTCCCCGGTGCTGCAGTCCTGGACTTGAGCCGATCCAGGGATACAGATCAGGCAGGAGCAGACAAGTGGCAGGATCCAGGCATCCTAGGGCTCCAATGCAGGTTCAGAGTCAAGAAGGTTGACCAGGCGGACCACACAGGAACAGACAGGATCAGGTGCAGATGAGCAGGCTTAGTGGTAGAGGGTAGCAGAGACAGGACATGGAACCAGAACATGATGCAGGACCTTTAAACTGGTCTCCAGCTTGGAGCCAGGCTTACTGGAATAAAAACTGATCCTCCCCGTGTATAGAGCCAAAACCCTGAGAACTCAGCAGGGGAGGAACAGCGGATGATTAGGAGACCAGACAGACACAAAAACCAGGATCTGGGACAAGAACTGTGGAATAAACAGAACAGACAGACTGAACAGAAAACTAAATATACTGATCTGGCCCCGAATACTCAGGCTGAACAGAATATAAAACAAAGGAAACAGGTGAGAGGAATAAATGATAATTACGACAGGGAGGGAAAACTGCAGGTGAAAGAAATAACCAATTAAAGTGGAGCAATCAGGCCAGATCATGACAGCACTGACTGCATTTGAAACTGATAAGGGATAGCTCAAAAAAACAATTTTATGCAATGCAGTAATTTGAAAAAACATAAGCACGAAGATTATAAAACCCTTATTATGATTGTGTAAACATACATCAGATCTTTTTGTGTGGTTTGGGCATCTTCTCATGGGTGTAGGTTTGCATAGGGATCATTGGGACACGTCCCTGCCAACATTTTGGCACCAACCTACTTGTCCCTACCAATAATTCTATTTCAATAACATGTTTATAGTTTACAATTCAGTGTCGTTGCAGCAGTCACTTCTTTTCTCACAACTAATAAAATTTGTATAAATGTAGTAAAAAATCCTGTTTTCTCTTTAAACGAAATCTGCCCTGATGCTCACCTCAAGCATTAAAAAAAATAGGTGTCACGATTTAGTGTTGGATTGAGGACCCAAAAGCAGAGGCAAGTAGGCAGAGGTGAATTTAGGTGGGTTTAATGAGGTCCACAGGTACAGAGGCAGGAATCAAAAAATCCAACAAAAATAACAAACAAACCAGAACCAAGGAGACATCTGGGGAAACCAAACTCTAGGAGCCAGGGAGAGACGAGGTGAGCAGACAGACGTTAGACGAGGATCCAGCAAACAGGAACTGAAGAGGGAGGGCTTTTAAAGGGGACAGAGACAAAGAGAGGGCTAACGAGAGGATTGGAAACAGGTGAGGACAGAGCAGAAAACAGAGCTAGGGATAGAGGACACAAGAGGGCAGCAGAGGAGAACAAATGGAAAACCTGGAAGACAGGAACTAACAAGAAAACAACAAAAATAATACAGGTGCTGGTCATAAAATTAGAATATCATGAAAAAGTAGATTGATTTCAGTAATTCCATTTAAAAAGTGAAACTTGTATATTATATTCATACATTACATACAAACTCATATATTTCAGATGTTTATTTTGTTTAATTTTGATGATTACAAATGACAACAAATGAAAATCTCAAATTCATCATATCAGAAAATTAGAATATTACTGAAGACCAATAAAAACAAAGGATTTATAGAAATGTTGGCCAACTGAAAAGTATGAACATGAAAAGTATGAGCATGTACAGCACTCAGTATTTAGTTGGGCCTCCTTTGGCCTGTATTACTGCAGCAATGCGGCGTGGCATGGAGTCGATCAGTCTGTGGCACTGCTCAGGTGTTATGATAGCCCAGGTTGCTCTAATAGTGGCTTTTAGCTCTTCTGAATTGTTGGGTCTGGTGTATTGCATCTTCTTCTTCACAATACCCCATAGATTTTCTATGGGGTTAAGGTCAGGAGAGTTTGCTGGCCAATTAAGAACAGGGATACCATGGTCCTTCAACCAGGTACTGGTAGCTTTGGCACTGTGTGCAGGTGCCAAGTCCTGTTGGAAAATGAAATCTGCATCTCCAAAAAGTTGGTCAGCTGCAGGAAGCATGAAGTGATCTAAAACTTCCTGGTATGTGGCTGCGTTGACCCTGGACCTCAGAAAACACAATGGACCAACACCAGCAGATGACATGGCACCCCAAACCATCACTGACTGTGGAAACTTTACACTGGACTTCAAGCAACGTGGATGAAGTGCCTCTCTTCTTTTCCTCCAGACTCTGGGACCTTGATTTCCAAAGGAAATGCAAAATTTACTTTCATCAGAGAACATGACTTTGGACCACTCACCAGCAGTCCAGTCCTGTTTCTCTTTAGACGCTTCTGACGCTGTCTGTGGTTCAAGAGTGGCTTGACACAAGGAATGCGACAGCAGAAACCCATGTCTTTCATACGTCTGTGTGTGGTGGTTCTTGAAGCACTCACTCCAGCTGCAGTCCACTCTTTGTGAATCTCCCCCACATTTTTGAATGGGTTTTGTTTCACAATCCTCTCCAGGGTGCGGTTATCTCTCTTGCTTGTACACTTTTTTCGACCACATCTTTTCCTTCCCTTCGCCTCTCTATTAATGTGCTTGGACACTGAGCTCTGTGAACAGCCAGCCTGTTTAGCGATGACCTTTTGTGTCTTGCCCTCCTTGTGCAAGGTGTCGATGGTCGTCTTTTGGACAACTGTCAAGTCAGCAGTCTTCCCCATGATTGTGTAGCCTATAGAACTAGACTGAAAGACCATTTAAAGGCTTTTGCAGGTGGTTTGAGTTAATTAGCTGATTAGAGTGTGGCACCAGGGGCCATCAATTTTGAACCTTTTCACAATATTCTAATTTTCTGATATGATGAATTTGAGATTTTCATTTGTTGTCATTTGTAATCATCAAAATTAAACAAAATAAACATCTGAAATATATGAGTTTGTATGTAATGTATGAATATAATATACAAGTTTCACTTTTTAAATGGAATTACTGAAATCAATCTACTTTTTCATGATATTCTAATTTTATGACCAGCACCTGTAATTAAACACTAAAACAAGGAGCAAAGTAAAACTGAATACTCTAAATAAACATAACAAATCCAAGACTGTGACAATAGGAGCATGCATAATGAGTAGGACCAATTACATCAGACCAATTCAACTTAAGATCAATAGTGTCCCTACCAAGGTTGAGATCAAACCTACGTCCTTGCATCTTCTGAACCATCTGCTCTTGGGTAAACCAAATTTAGATTCTTGTTTCTGACAAACTTTTTAGCAGTGTTTAGTTGTTTGTGAAGGGGGCAGGTTAGGGACATGTTTGTCCCAGGGTAATATTGATGCAAGAAGCGCCCCTGGCTGTGTGACTAGTCCAGAAGGACACAGTTATAAATTTAGACAGCCAGAGGAGTGATAACATTTCAGAGTTGGCAAGCAGCCCTCTGACAGCAGCCTCCCACTCTGGGAACCTTAAACCGGATAAACCTGCCCGCCAAGATAACAATTAAACTTCTGCATGAGTTAATCAGACTCCCCCCTTTACTCTTTCTCATCTGGTCGGATCCAGTCTGCTCGAAGCGGGCGTCCTGGTGCGAAATAATCGGTGTGATTTAATGAGGCGGAGATGCAAGAGGACAACCCCAGAGCCGCTCCTCCGCAGCCAGGACAGGTGCCCCACTGGTGAGCCTGCAGAGGACGGGACAGAGCGGCTCAGAGAGGGCGGAGAGGAGAGGAAGTAAACAGCAGGGTCACTTCCCAGCGTTGCGCCATGGATCAGGGGCAGAGCGCAGATATGGTGGGGGAGCACTCAGCCGGGATGTGCGCGTCGGAGCGCGGGGAGGTGTCCAGTCCCAGTCCGCCGGCCAAGCAGCGCTCCCTGCGGGTGGTTTACGTCCTGAACGACGGCTTGAAGTCGGTGATGGCGAGCAGCCCGGAGTCCGGAGCGCTGCAGTGTCTGCAGAGAGCCTGCGACGCAGAGAGCGCGCTGCTCACCACCGTCACCTTCGGACGCCTGGACTTTGGAGAGACTGCGGTTCTGGACAGCTTCTATGATGCAGGTGGGTTTCCTGCTGTTAGTTTGGCTCCTCTACATGAACACATCTGTCTGACTGCAAAACGAAACTAATCAAAATAATCAGAGCGTCTGTTTTCCCTGTTTTTTTCTTAAAGTAATTCAAACCAAAGTTTAATTAAACTTGTGTGGTTAGAAAACTCAAGTTTCAGCTCTGAATTATTGTTCTTTTCTCATGAAAAACTTTTAAACAGCCAAGCAACAGAGGTCAGCGCTCTAGAAACTCGAAGTTTGGTAATTTGAACAAGTTCATGATCTGGAGAAGAAAGGGAAGTATGGAGCAATGTTTGTTTTCCCCAGACCATATTAAAAAGTTAAATATTTACCATCCTCTCATCCATACATAAATCCAGGTACTGCCATTCAGAAGCAGTAAGTCATAACTCTAGGGTAATGAGCATGTTAATTTTTTTATTATCCAGGTCGAGAAGCTGTAAATCCATTTTAACAGTCAGTTTTTAAAGAATAAAACACAGAAAACACTGAAGCTGTATGATCTCAACTCAACTAAGTTTATTATATAGATAGTTTCCACTTTAAGGTCACTGGAAAAGAAATGGGCCCTCCAACTCCTGTGGTTTTATATAAAACCTATAATTGCACATTTCCATGGAAATATTTACAAGTATGCATAACCCAGGTCCTTTTCAGTAGATGTCTTCAGAATTTGCTTGCTTTGTGTCAGTAATATGATAAATATCTCCTGTATATTCCCAGATCCCAGCGATGCTACTGATTCTGCTGCCATTATTTAGACTAAATTCTGTGTTCTCGCTTTCATTCATTTGATTCTGCTTCATGTCTTGATTATAAAAAAGTGAGACCTACCCCTCCTGCAAAGATCAAGTCAGTGAAATCAGAGCTGCCCCTGACTGTCTTTAATTAGCAGCTATTTATACCCTGTGATACTGTCCACACCTTTGATGCAGACAGCATGGGCATAGTTACAAGGTTTCACTACACAGACCCTGGGGACTGACAGTAATCGGATAAATCCTTGCAAATGGAGCTGAAAAGAAACACAATATGGAGGTTTAAGAAAGACGGTGATGGGAAAAGATGGTTTTATTTGTATGCTAGATTTTAACTTGCCAGGGCTTGTTATGGTTGACATCATCAACCACCCAGACATTTTTCTGATACGCAGTAAAAAAGGCGCCATTATTTGCTAAAACCATCATGAAGCCAGAGCAGATCTGCGAGTCATGGCTGACCATGATCTTTGGTTAAATTTCAGTTATTCAGCTCAAAGTATGGTACACGTTTTTCCCTCTAAATTTAACTTTACAAATAAAGGGGCCTTGGGAGATCCTTACATGAAAACTGTTTTAGAATAAAACTATTTAAAAGCCTGAAAAGGTAGTTTCAAGTTCAGAGTTAAAAGGTTTCTTTTTTTTCAAAACACACAAAAAAACAACTATTTAAAATATTTTAGCATGAAGAAATTAGGATAAATAAAGGAGGGAAAAAAAGCTTACCCTTTAATGTAAATAGATGGGAAAAATTATACTTTTAGAATTTACAGATAAGATTATGTAAGACATTTAAGAAGTCTGGTTGTTCTGTTGGAAGGATGCCTAAATTATCATCCATTTATAATCCAGGTCCTCAGAAATGAGTGTCCTGCTTTTCACAGAGTAGGAATATCCCAATAAAACCTGTTCACTTCCGATAGGAAACAGATATTGCAGCTTTGAGTAGTGACCGATATGATCCCACTTTTATTCCTCGTTTTTTTAGTGTGCAGAACACTAACTAAGCTGTGAAGAAGAACAGGTTGGTAATTGAGAGGTTTTTTTTTTTACTAACTGGTTAATGAACGGGTGAATGCTTCATTTAGAGATTTAACAACACAGAAACCGCTTCAACGTCCCCTTACTGTATGCTCTCAAGAGCTGCCCCAATCTACACCTATATTTTGAGCCTCTTGTAGTTCTTGTATTGCATTATGGGATATGCAGTTAGGTCACCATGCATAATAATGGTTGTTTGGTATTAAGCTTTACATGTCTAATCTACTGGATTACTCCTTTTGTAGTCAACATGTTAATGGCAGTTTTGTAAAGTTAGTTATATTCCTTATCTTTTTTTTCTTCTTTTTTATAAATCATTTCTTCTGTATTTTTAAACCGGAACAATAGCTGGTTAATAGATTTGTGTTTAAAGAATGCGGACATGTATGATCTGGTTTAACAGTAATTAATACTGTAAAACCCAAAATAAATCAATAAATGAAGCTTAATTTTACAGACATGGTTCTATTGAATGGAAGTAATACACTGCCAGGCGTAAGATCACATATTCTAATGATTTGTTAGATAGACTTTAGCTTTGATTATGGCACACATTCATTGTACCATTGATTCAATAAGCTTCTGCAATACAAGATTTATTTCCACGCAGGGTTACATTTTTTTTTTTTTTAACAAGATCTTGCATTAATGTCAGAGTCTGATTGAAAGCCTAATCCTGCACACTCTGAAGATTCTCAATAGGTTTAAGAACTGGACTCTGGTGGTGGCCAATCTTTGAATCTTGACATAGTCGTCTTGGAATATGCCAGCATCATTAGAAAAAAAATCCATTGATGGAAATAAGCTGGTCATTCAGTATTTTTATAGGTAGTTGGCTGATCTCACCCTTTTAGCCGAAACTGCTACTGAACCTAGAATTGAGCATCTACAGCAACACCAGGTCATAGGATCTTCTTACCCTGATGAGGCCATCACTCTGGAACTGGTTCTGGTTGCTCCAGAATCCAATCTTTATCCTCCCTAGTAAACTGAAGCCTTCTTTTGGATTAGCCTCTCTGGTTTTCTTAAGAAACAGCTGCTCAGTTCCAATCTGTTCACATTCGGAATGTGGAATGTTTTTTCGTTCACCATTAAACATAGCCCAGGGTTATATTGGTGTTTTTCTTCAATTTTAATTCCACCAAATTTTTAAGTGATCACTGATCACATTCATTTAGGGCTTTTTCCAGCCACATTTTCCCCCGAAGACAATGGGTCATAACTATCCTTCCATTTTTTTTATATTATGTTGTACAGTTTTTAACAAATTTTAAATATTTTCTGCAATCTCCTTAGATGTTTCCCCTCCTTGATAAAAGTCAGCAATTTGACCCTTTCTAAAACAGGCTGATTTAATTTCCACAACCAAAGGTTTTACATGTTTGTTTAAGAAATGAGAATCAACTCATTGCACCAGTTGGGGAACTGAATCATAATTGCCCATAAAGTAATTATCCAATGGGAGCCCGTACCTATTTACTTAGTTAAATCCAGGTGGAAACAGTTTTTTTTTTTTTTTTTTTTTTTGGCTAGAGAGTGTATTTACATAGAAGACAAACAATGATCTCAATTTGAGATTGATGATTTGAGATTCTGTGCAGGGAGCTGAAGATTAAAGATATAGCAAGGAGTCCTTCCCTTATTAAAGGCTCAGAATTTATCTTCGTAAGGTAATTATAAAAAGAAATCAGTTGAAATGCACAAAACACACCTACTCCTACTCTATTATAAAAAGGATTAGATTACTGTAATCCAGGATAATTGTAATCCTGATAAATGATGTATAATCTGCACCTTTTCATGAAATAGAATTATAGGTATTGTACTTTGTTTTATAAGCATCTGAAAGATTGCTGCTTCATTTCATATAAGAAAAAAACAACTGATTGGTTTAATATAAACACTTTATAATGGAAATCAAAAGTATTATGAATAATTTCTAGGTTAATTGTACATGTGGCTGTTGTTATCAGACTTTATTTCGGTAATCTTTGCCTCTACGTGATGCAGGCATGTTTGCATGTCTGCTCTTGCCCCCTTCTCTCATTCTTTTCATTCATTTGTTACGCTGCCGGCGTTTGTGTTTAACATTGTTTCCTGGAATCGGAATCAAAACCTGCTCCAGGAAGGATCCTGCTCACTTCGTCATGTGGTTTAAAAGCTAAGGAGGATGACGAGTTCCCACAAATATTAATAAAAATTAGCAGAAAATATAAGATCATTTGTTTGTAAGCTAAGATTCATTCCGATCAGGGTAAACCAAATGATCACAATCCAATAAACTATCAAAGTGTGCAAAGAGATAGTGAGTCCAGAAATCAGCCTGACTGAGATGCGATGATTGGACGCTAAGAAAGCTGTCGATAAAAACATCCGACTTCTACAAACCTTTATTCATACTGTAGATTTAACATTCAGAAGAAAATCTGACTATTAGAAAAATCAATAAAAGAGGATTATTAGTGCTAAATGTATTTGTGGAAGCTAGTAAATCATATTTGTTTAATTAATTGATCTCATGTATGTAGATTTTCTATCCTGAGAGCTTTAAACATTTTTCATGAGATACTCAAACACTCATGGACAAGTCTAAGGAGGACAGAGGTTGTTAAGTCATACAAAAAGGAAATTAATTTCCCTCTGCAACATGAATCCCTCTAATTATCTGCTGCTCATTCGTTCCAGACATTGCTGTCGTGGACATGAGCGACGTGTTTCGGCAGCCCTCGCTGTTTTACCACCTGGGCGTGAGAGAGAGCTTTGACATGGCTAACAACGTCATCCTGTACCACGACACAGACCCAGACACTGCTCAGTCATTGAAGGTACGTGTGCACACCCCCGAGAGCGTAACCGGAGTGCAGAGATGCCATTCCTTTACTCTGCCTCAGAACAAAGTGATCCTGAGGTTTATTTACAGATCTGTCTGTTCTGCAGTTATTTCTCCTATCTTAGAATGTAGCATACTCTGAAGATCTGTTTGCTCTTTGTTTGGCTTGTTTGCAGGACATGGTTGCACAGAAAAACACAGTAAGTTTCTGCATGTTTGTGTGTGATCTATCTGCACACAATGTGCCGTGCTATTTCTAGGAAAAGCATCCGGGACATTTGCTGTCAGTCCTATGATCCTGAAATGCATTCAGGAATGCATGTCCACGTGCTTTTCCTTTGTGGAACTCTCTTTCTCCCTCCCACACACACACCTTCAGAATCCTGACAGATTTTTAACTGCAGGCTTTCCCAGAACTTGGTGTTTATTTTCCTGTCATTCTCTGCTTGCTTGTGTGGAGTAGGCCAGCCGTCCTCCAGCCTTAGGCTTCCCTTGGATTCAGCTGCCTCCAGAATACAGAGGCTCTGGACTGAGAAATAAAGTAGGTACAGTGCCATGTCTGCACTGAAGCATGCAGTGAGAATGCCTTAAAATGCAGACACTACTAATAGAAAAAGTACTTAACAAGTTGAATGCAAAACAACGGTTTGGTGAAGGAGATTTTGACTTTGTTGAAAGTTCTTCAAAGATACAGTGAAGGACTGTTGCGAATAATTGAAAAGACCTGCCCTCTCTATTGCTCATGCAAGTGCGAGAGCATGCAGGAGCCCATTTCTCCTTGTGTACGCTCTGTTTAAAAGTTACTGTTTGCATCGCTCATACAAGCTTTGCAATTTTTCCAGACTCACCACCGGTAAGTGAAAATGGGGACGAGCATGTAGGCCGGCCTTATGTAAACATATCACCAGGATGATTGACAATAAGCAGGACCACTTATTTTGATGATCCAACCACAAAAAGAATATCCTCCACTATACCTTTAAGTTTAGAAATTGATAAAACTCCATTCAGGATCAGGTCTTTAGAGAGAAGGGTCAGGAGCATCATGAGAAAGTTGGAAGCAAACTTTGCCAGAAGAAACTGTTTATAATTGGAGTTTTCGCTTCCAAGAACACCCCAGGTACCACAACACTAGTATGTTGGACTCACATCTGTAGCTCCCTGCTATAGTGTCACTTGCAGTGGTCCATCTTAAGTTTGTAACTTTGCACGATTGGCGCCAAGTGGCTCAAGGGAAGGTGTTTCCAAGTTTCCAAGGCTTGGCATAAGTTAAAGTGAATGGATGAAGGTATCACAACGGGCACTGGGCTAAATCTAAATGTTTTAGACAGTTTATTTTCCATATATAAACTTCATCACAATTGTCAATTATAGTGGCTAAGCACTATACCAAAGTAACCACAATCCACATCCAAAGAAAAAAACGTAGCCATTTCTTTCAGCTATATCTTTTTCTTTTTGTCCTTATTTTGTATCAAGTGGCCTCTTTAAAAAGCTCTTGGCTTCCAACTATGATTATATAACTATGGCTACAATTTGAAAAGTAGGGAAAAAATAAGAAAAAAACACACACCCCCCCACCCAAAAAAAAAAGAAGAAATTGAAGAAACCATTGTCTGCCTAAACCTCTGAACCACCGTACTTACAGTCTATAGATATATGCCTCTCAAGTGGTTCAGTGGTTGCATTGTGGTTTAGCCTCTGCATGCAGCACATGCACAGGCTCAAGTCCTACAGTATGCACAGCTGTCCCAGATTTGATTCATGGCCATTGGACTACTTTACATCTCCCAAGTCCCTGGCACGCTTTGTCCCATCCATTAATAAAGTCCACTAATGCCTGTTAAAAGTCTACAGGATCTCAACACAGAGTTCGGCCAGAGACAAGGTTACTTCCCTTACTTATACATGTTGCTCTGTTTAATGCATTTTTATTTTTTGCCTATCATCACAGCTATGCTATCTGAAAGCAGACAGCAGATGCTCTGTAAGTAGAGGGAAAATGTTATGCATTCTGGATGGGGAGGTCTGTGTTTATTATGGACCTATGGTTTCAAAGGGGCTGTACAGTAAGTCCCTCTCGGTATAGAGCAGGGCGGGCACGTTTATAAGTCATGCTTTTGTTCGTGCCGCTTTGGGCAGCAACATTGGATGTGTGAAGATTAATGGCCCCAATGTCAGATATAGTTATGTTACCATGAGTTTAAATAATACCAGCCATTCGATACCAGATGTCAGATTGGCTTTTATTGACATTTTTATAGCAACCGATTTGATTTATTTCACAGAACAAGAATAATTCAAATTCTTGGGTACAGTCTTCTTCCAAATGGCATAAAGGCTTAATTTTGTTTACATTTTTTCATAAAATGAATTGATTTCAGTCCATTTCCATGAACTTATGTTTTATTCAATCCCAGACAGTCTGTCCTCAAAAAGACAGGCTGTCTGGCCCTCAGGATCAAAATGTGACTTTTTTGTCTTTCTTGCAGAAAAACAAAAGAAAGAACTCAAGCAGGATCTTGTATCAAATTTGATTTAATTCAAATTTTTTCCAATTACAGACAAACTCACATATTCCCTTTTCCTGAAAGGCTTATATACAGAATAACAGAGTCGGCTGTACTTTCTAAGATACTTTTTCTGTTAAATGACAACAGCAGCTCTAATGAGAGTTTTTTTTAGACAAAATACATGGAAAACGCAGGTGCAATGACCCAGGTGTACCTTCCATAAAAACATCATCAGGTACACAGAATTAATGACAGCAACAGTTCTTTATTGGATATGAGCAATACGATCACACACCGAAAAAAAAAAACAGTGTTGAACTAGGTGTACTCTCTATGAAGAATAAACAGGAAGATAATTCTGCATGAATGAAATCAATGAGCATAGAAAATACATTCTAAATGGTGTCAAATAGGTGAAAAATGAAAACACCTCAGATTCTAAGTGTTTATCAATTAGGAGCTGAAGCTGAAGCCTGACTTTGCATGAATTGTAAAGCTCACAAGAGGAATGCTGCAGGAATGCTGCACTGTGACCACTCTATAAAGATAAAAAATATTTGTTTCTGCAGCTTTTATTACTAATGTTAATGTTAATTGCACTATTTCAATTATGTACGTAGAAGTACTGTGTTGGTTAGATAATAGGTGTGATATGATGCTACTTGTCCAATAGAGTGTGGTATATCTTGTGTTTTTAAAATAAAAACTTTTGAGTCAGGGAATTTCAGCTGGGGACTTTTTTAGAGGTTCTGTTTTTATTGAACTTGGTGTCTGTGTTGGGGTGTTTTAGTGATTTTTGGGATCTTTTGTGACCATCATTTGTCTATTTTTCACAGCACCTGCTTCAAATGTCACGATGTTGCCAAACAGCCTCATTGGTTGCTCTGATCCTTTGCTTTTACACATCCTCCTCATTAACTACCCTCTAATCTCCACTCCATCTATTGTTTCCCCACCTGGGAGTCCATTTACATCTGCCCCCTGTATCCTGCATGTGTGCCTACCTGCACTGCTGCTCTATTAAATCTGCATTTGCAGGCTTACAAAAGCTGGTAATTAGTCCATGATTTCTTTCTGATCTTTAAACATCACCCATTCTCCCCCTCCAGGCTTCCAGTGGTAATTACTACTTCATCCCCTACATTGTGACTCCTAACCATGAGTATATGTGCTGTGAGAGCGACGCACAGCGCAGGGCCAGTGAGTACATGCAGCCCAGCTGGGACAACTTGTTGGGGCCGCTGTGCGTCCCTTTGACAGACCGCTTCACCAACCTCCTGAAGGACATCCATGTTACCTCATGGTGAGACAGTAGCAAAAAAACATATTTACTACTAAAACAGCAATGTTAAAAAAAATTGCTTTTGTCAACTGGGAAAGCCAAGGTTTCAACCAAAGACAAAAGTTCTTTAGTATTGCTTTAACTGGGCCATACTGTAAGAATTACCCCAGGGAGGGGTAATGTAAGGAGAAGCATGATTTTTTTCCTGCTCCAGCACAGAAAAAAGATCAGAAACCTCTCTTTTTAAGCTAATGTCTAAGCTGGGAAAGGCAGTCTCATTTTGAAGTTCTTTGTTTTTCATCAGAGTTGGGTTAAAACTTCATTTTTATAACATATTAATACCCACAGAGTTCTTTAGGCATAATTAAATCCTATATTTGCCTATTGGGGACTATAAATAATGTAATGTAAATGAGTCATTGTTTCATAATCCACTAAGGTCATGATATTTTCATTCCGACATGTTCAAGTTTGATATTATTGCCTCCTATTGGATTAACGTAACTTTTAAGGATTTTCTGTGTTTTTGTCCAGAGATTAATATTCAAAGCAGAAACTATATTAATTGTACTATTGTAATAGGCTCTATCTGTCATCATTTACATAAAAGTTATATACTTAATTAATTTTCAACTTTCTCCCACGTTAATCCATTTCATCCTCTTTTGCAGTGCATCTTTTAAGGACACTTTGCTGAATGACATAAGGAAGGCCAGGGAGAAATATCAGGGAGAGGAGCTGGCTAAGGAGTTGGCCCGTATTAAACTCAGGATGGACAACACAGAGGTCCTAACGCAGGATATCGTCATGAACCTGCTGTTTTCCTACAGAGACATTCAGGTACAGGCCACGATAAGTGGAGTACCTTCAGAAGCTCTGTGAGAAATAATTATTTTATCATCTTTTTATGGAAATTGATTCAACCTGTTATGTGTGTCTCAAATCAATCAAACAGGATTATGATGCTATGGTTAAGCTTGTGGAGACTCTAGAGACTCTGCCTACTTGTGATCTGGCTACCCAGCCCATGATCCAGTTTCACTACGCCTTTGCTCTCAACAGGTAAACAAAGCACACATTTTTGTGATTACTTGTTAAAACCATTTTTTAAAGGAGATCTCACCCAATTTTAGGTTATTTTGCACTATTATGTTGTAGCATAAGAATTTTTGCACCAAAAAATCATATTGAGAGGGAGAACAATACAGAGTTCCTACACTGTCTGGAGAAGATGAGATACAAAAAAAAATCCCAATTCGTTTAATCCTTTTATATATAATATATTTTAGCATTTCTGCATATATTTTTCATTTAATGACTGACTTCACACACTGCAAAAACCATCTAGAAAAAAGTACAAAATCTCTTAAAATAAGTGCATTTACCCTTGATTTTAGTAGGTAAATAAGACAATTTTCCAATGGAATGAGTATTTCTACTCCTAAAATAAGACAATTAGATAATATTCACTTGAAATAAGACAAAGCAATTGTTTTTTTCTTATTTTAAATGTAAATTGTCTTGTTCCATTGGCAAGGTGTCCCACTTATCTCCTCAATTCAAGACAAAATTCACAAAATTTAAGCAAAAATAACTCATGCAGATTTCCATTTTTTGCAGTGCAGCTGACTGTTAAATCTCCCTGTGGGAGAGAAAACTGAGGATAACTCTGTTGTGTTGTTTTATTCTTATTTTTAAGGATATCTAAAACAAAGTTCTTCATATTATTTGAAAGTGTAGTTCATCCATCCATCCATCAATCTGCTCACAGTACCTACCTTCCTAGAGAAGGGCCTGGGAAGTGGAATATCAGGAACATAAAAACACTCTTAAATGACTGTTATCCGATCAACCATTGCTGTAATGAAGATCAGTGTCATGTATATTCAGTGAAAGTACCATTGCTGAGTTATCTGCCTTTAACATTTAAGCATTTGAATGTATGCAGGAGGAACAGTCCTGGAGACCGGGAGCAGGCTCTCAGGGTGATGCTCCAGGTGCTACAGACCAGTGAACATCCTGCTCCTGACATGTTTTGCCTCTGTGGACGGATCTATAAGGACATCTTCCTTGATTCAGACTGCAAGGACACAGTAAATAGAGATAAAGCCATACAATGGTGAGAACAGACTCAATTAAAATGGTTATTTTCTTTATCAAATATTTCACACAAATAATTTATCTTTTATTCGGTATTACCTACAGGTATAGAAAGGGCTTTGAACTGCAGCCGACTCTCTACTCTGGCATTAATCTAGCGGTCCTCCTCATAGTTGCTGGTCAGCAGTTTGAGAGCTCCATTGAACTGAGGAAAATAGGTGACATGAAAACTCCTTGGTTTCTTTCCTAGAGTCAGAATGTGTCTTCATTTTAAACAAGAAAGTTTTTTTTTAATATTATTTGTCTTGACAACATTTTTTTACATATAAAAAAGGTTTATTTGTTGTCTTGTTGGTTATTTTGGTTCTTCTCAATTTCACTGGTTCGGTTACTTTTTTTGTACAGTATTGTTAGAATAACAGGTTAAAGAAAAATAAGTTTATGATAATAAAATGAATAGTAACTGGTTTAAAACAAAGTAGAAAAGTCATCTAAAGCATCCTCATATCTAGAATGAAAACAGGAGAACAAAAAAAAATCTTTAAAAGAATTAGACATTTTTTATACAGAGAATGTATACAAAATATAATTTGGCTTTTTACAGCTTTCCAGAAAGTAAATGAACATTTTCATTCCATAAAGTGCAGCAGTGATCAAATGTAAACAGTGTGGGAGAAAGAATATGGTGCAAAAAACGCATTGATATGAAAGTTCAGAGCATTCACATATGGTGCAAATATTCAGTATTTTTGGTTTGGTGTTATCAGTATGATGCAGAGTCTGTGTGTTTAGGGTTTTTTCAACAGTTCAGCAGTCTGATGGCAAAGGAGGAAGAAACAGCTGCTGAATCTGCTGGAGCATGAATAAATATCCTGAAAAGGTGTTGGGTATTCCAACTAAATTTTTTTAGGGTATCAAATCAGCACTCATTTATTTTCCCTTCTTTGCAATAAATAATTTGTATTTTGAATATATTTATACATTTTAAAACACTAGATGAACTTTTAAAATGGGTTAAAATATTTTGCATCTAGTTCTATGTTCATAGTGTCAAAAACCCTTTATAGTTAAAACCTTTTCTTATTTATTTTTTTTTGTTTGGGGGAAAAAAAGGCATTAGAATATTGTTCTACTATTCCAGCTTAAGGGCAGAGCACACGAGTGGTATGAGACTTGTGATTAGAAATCAACCTGACCAGCCTTTGATGGATTCAAAGGTCAGAGGAAAAGTGTCAATTTAATTTAACTCATCTGGTGAGAGACAGTTCAAAACTCTACCCCCAATATTGCTGTTGAAAAATAACAAACAGTGAGTTAAATAGATGATTTCTGGACCATTTGGAGCTTATGTGGGGACTTTGTAAGGGAGACCAAAACAAGTTGCAATAGTTAGTATGGGGAATTATGAGGATGTGGACAAAAACTCAATCAAAGTAAGGGAAAAGAAGGGGGTAAAGACCATTAATTTTTCACAGCTAAAAATATATAGTCTGAGTAATAGTTTAATGTGAGACATAAAAGGCATCCAGGGTCTTAAGCTGAGATGCGAATGAAGCTGTGAAACTGACAATAAGAAAACCAATATTTTGGATAATACCAATTTATTTCTGCAAGACAGAGCTCAGTTTTAGAAATGTAAAGGTGAAGTAAAATTTTATTTTGGACAAACGAGGTGAAGGAAGAGGTTGGCAGCACAGAATTTCCACCTTATAAGTAGAGCTGGGTGTCATCTGCATAGCGATGGATATTATTGTTGAATTTATCAAAAATATTGCATATTATTACAAATATTACCAATTCGGCCTTAAAAACTTACACTGATGAACTAAGGGTTATATTTGTTTGTATGTTTTATAAATTGCTAAAGTGCTCGAGATAAAATCTTTTTGGGTAAAATGAGAGCTATGTTGAAATTGTGTCTTTTAATAGAGAACAGTTTGTTATATTAACTGTTTACTTCTCTCTTTAGGTGTGAGGTTGAACAGTCTGCTGGGCCGGAAAGGTTCTCTGGAGAAAATGAACAATTACTGGGATGTGGGCCAGTTCTTCACCGTTAGCATGCTAGCTAGTGATATTCCTAAAGCTACTCAAGCTGCTGAGAAGCTGTTCAAACTGAAGCCACCGCTATGGTAGAGTCTCATATTACAGAAAAAACATTTTATTTATTTTTCAATTTACACGTTTAGTAAGCACAAACATGGTTAGGTAAACACTAACACGGTTGTTTCAAAAGAAAATATGAGACGGGAATTGGAATTAAAATTTGTTTTTTCACATGATAAACCATTAAAAATTCTGTTAAATCATTCTCATACTATCTCCTGTCATATTTTTGTCTTTTTTTCACTGTTAGTACCATCTGGAATATGATCACATAACTGGTGATGCAAAAAAAGTGTATTTTTTCACAAAACTTTTTTTTTCTCAGAAAAAAGGAAATCACATTGACATGATTATCTTGACATAACAGAATATTCCAACCTCAAAGAAATCATTCTTTCCTAATCTATCCTAGGGTTTTTGTATGAAACATTTAAATTCTAGAGTTGTAACAGATACTTTGAGTGCCAAATGAAAGCTCCAATCATCAACATTTTGAGGATAATGGCACGCATCTAGAGACGATTGTTAATGCTCATTGGCCTTGATAATTTTGATTAATTTAATGCACATTTCCTTTCAGGTATTTGCGGTCAGTGGTGCAGAACCTCCAGCTAATCCAGAGATTTAAAAAGCAGGTGGTGGAGCATTCTCCCCAAAGAGAAAGGCTCGACTTTTGGATGGACATCATTGTGGAGGCCACACAAGGCACCACCAAGAGACTTCGATTTCCAGTACAAACAATTACGCATGACTAATCAACTGTGTATCTTAAAATTTGGATGCTAATATTGTTTGCAATTTTTTTTATTTGCAGGTTTTGATTCTGGAGCCAACAAAAATTTACCAGCCTTCTTATGTGTCTATAAACAATGAAGCTGAAGAAAAGCATGTTTCCATCTGGCATGTTTCTCCTGCTGAAAGTGTAAGAATTAACTTTATTTCACTATTGTAACTTTAGTTCATCTCCAGCTCTAATTTGCATAATCATTTCTTACATATACTGGAGTCTTCATCAGTTATTTTAGCTAGATTGTCATGTACTAAGCTGTTTGTTTATTTCAGCTACTTTGAGAAATAACCGACTCTAAATTAATCTTTGATCCCAGTATAAATGTTGTGGTAAATAATATATTTTAAACCCCACAGAAGGGAATCCATGAGTGGAACTTCACTGCAATCTCCATTAAAGGCATTAGGTATGTATAAACAGAACATTCACAGACAGAATAAGTCTGGCTGTTTTTTAATTTTACACTAAACTTCCATTATATTTTTTTTAGAGATTCAGGGAATCTGAGGATTACTCGTGACAAACTTTCTGCTGCTGTATGAATAATTAAAATAACAAAATTTTACATCTTTGATACTCGTCCGATATGGAGACAATCACACAGAAATTCAAATTTATTTGGGTTAGTATTGTAATGTTAGCTAGAGCACATTTTTGCACTATAACCACTATGAAGCCAGTACCTTTCTGTCTTCCTGTAAACTAATTACTTTCATAGTTTAAAGCTTTCTTTTCAGAATGTATAACTTAGATTTCTGAAGTTACATCTTGAGAGTCTATCACAGATGACTTTTATTGAACTTTCAGGTTCACCTTTCTTTGTCACTGCAAGTTCACATTACATTAACATCTGTTTCTTGTGAAGCAGTGAATAGTGTGCAGCACCATTTTAAAGTAAAGGGGTCTTGTTGGGGGACCCAGAGTGAGAGTGTCTAGTGATGTAGCAGCCTTTCCTGGATGTCAATGCACTCCTCTCTAGCCACCAGTCCCCTGGTTCCTTTTAAACTTTCAAAAAACATACAGGGCACTTCAAATAATGTCATTAAAGAACAAATTTCCCTCATGTGAAAATAACCTGCAGGTTTTGAAATTTAAGCTTTAAGTTCAAGATAGGAACCTAAAGTTTCTTAAAAAAAAAAATAAAAATCTGAACCTTTTGGACAACCAGCTGATAGTTGATGAAAACTCTGTTGTGTAAAGTCTAAGTTTAGGAGTGTATTATGTTAGTGCATTTTAAGTAACCTATAAGATTTAACACATGCATCCTGCAGGGGTATGAATAATTTCCAACATGACCTTTCCTTAACTACCTGGAAATCTAAGTTGAATCCCCTTTATGGCCAGCTTGCCATACGACTTACTGTCCCTCTGCATATGCAAAACAGAGCCCATAATTATTGCAAACGAAGGAAGGACTAGATTTAGACTAACATGACTAATGTGATCATTGATTATTAATGGTAACTTAGTGTCCCTACCCAGTAGTCTAGTTGTGAAAAAAAAGGAAGGGAGATGGTGGAATTTTCTTCTTTTTTTTTTTTTATGCATAGACAGCCTAATAAATATAGTCTGTTAACCTAAAGCAATATGCATGGTATGGTTGTTACATGTGGGGTATGCCGGTCATTGACCTTCACCAAGGCACCTTACAGTAGAACTGCAGTCAGTCCCTGGACTGGCATGGATATCACTTCCCCTAAATAGTTTGGGATAAATGCAGAGAACAGAGTTCTCACTGTAATCAGCTTCATAGTCATGGTAGGACACTTCTTTGAGTTTATTGATTTTGCTCAGGATACTCGTAAGCCCACAGACTGCCAAATGTTTTAAGGGCCATATTATTGTAATTACTTTTAATATACATCGTTAGAATTTTACACATTCAGTAATAAAATTTCACAGGGAATGATATGGGGGAATGGTCATTTAAAGGCATACTATGCAACATTTTTCAGTTAATTAATGTGTTCCATAACGTTTTGGATGATTAAATGAGTCATTTCAGGTTGAACAAAGGTATTCTCGGCCGCCCTGGTGGTCTGTGGGGGAAATACCGCAGTTGCAATTGCAGGAGCCCTCGGCCCGCACCCACAGGCTCAGAAGTCTCGCGAGAGTCGGTCTTGCTTTACGGCGAGAACTTGGCTAACTACAATCTTTGTTATTTAGACACATGCATAACAAATAATGTATGAAAACATGCTAAATTTTCAAACTCAAAAATTGGAACAAAATAGTCACTTGCCGCAGTAGACATGGTGATTCGATGCGTTCGCCTGTCTGCTAAGCTCAAAACAACTGCGCCTGGCTTGACAGAGAAACCAGGAGAACAGCTGAGCATATTTATGACAGTGCACTTTTACTTTCGCCCTTGGGGGGAGCCTCGCTGGAAAATCAACCCCGGTTGCATAGTATACCTTTAACGGGGGATGATTTTTAAGATTTTTTTTTAAGAAGGGGGATGCCATCCCCTCTCATCCCGCTACCTCCAAGTTAAGTTCTATAAACTGGTATCAAGGCACTGACATTAATTAGGAGATTCATAACCTCCTTTGTGCTTTTACTTGTGATCCTGGTTTTGCATACACAAAAGGCAGGAATGTATTTTCAACTGTGATACTTAAATTACATTATTTGTTCACTCTGTCTGCAGTATTAGCAAGTTTGATGAACGTTGCTGCTTTCTCTATGTCCATGACAACTCTGACGACTTCCAGATCTATTTCTCTACTGAGGAGCAGTGCGGTCGGTGAGGACACACACCTCTAGATGTGTCTGTGTAGGTGTTTGTGTTCACAGAGCATGTGGTTTAAACCAGTCCTTTGGTTCTTAGCCAGACTCTCTGTAAGCCCTTACAATGGTTTAAACATTTTTTCTTGACGTTATGGTTTCTTCTTAGACATTTTGTCTCATTATTTTTTGTAACGTAGTGTGAAATTTACATATTGTTACATATTTTTTTTTTGTTTATTCCATGTAGTCAGCTTGTTCAAGCTATATAGTTTTCTATTTTCTTAATTTATTTTATTGGGACAGGCTTTAAAATCCTAGAAGATCATTTTAAGACTTACAAGAAAGTCTGGCTGCTGGAACGCATGACAATAAAAGAATGACATATGAGTTAAAAGTTTTGCTTAGTTTTGTGTTTTGTTGTAATCTGACATCTAAATCCTAAAAATAACGGCTTTGATGTTTATTTGTTGGGGGGGTGCATCAGGTTCTGCTCCTTGGTGAAGGAGATGATATCTGATGGTACAGGGAATGCTGTGGAGCTGGAGGGAGAGGGTGATGGAGACACGCTGGAGGTCGGTATTTATTTCTAATTTCTTGTGTTGTAAAGTATAGTTATTTTGATGCAAGAATACACTGTGTGTGTATATTTCTGTGTCTCAGTATGAGTATGACACTGATGAAAACGGAGACAGGGTGGTGCTGGGCCGAGGCACTTATGGAGTGGTGTATGCTGGCAGGGACCTGAGCAACCAGGTTCGAATCGCCATCAAAGAGATCCCTGAAAAGGACAGCAGGTAAGTCCAGAGCACAGAAGAAATAACAAAAATGTGTGTGTGTTTTTTTTACGTAACTATTATAACTTTACCTAAAAGCATTACCGTAAATTTAACTGACATTAAAAAAAACTAATTGAAAGGACTAACCCGTTTCTTTAAGTCAGAAGAATGCTGCTGTTGTTCTAAATCTTGGTAGCAACATTAAATACATATCTCAGTTATTGGTTGCTTTAAAGGATTTTCAAGTAGTTTACAGATTACTTGACGAAGAATTTCAACTTGTGTGAAAGTCTGATCATTAGCTTGTAGGTTTAGGAAAATAATTTGACTGCTAAAAGCAAATAACCTGTACCGGTAAGTTTTGGTTTAGTTTAACAGATGAACCATAAATCAAAAGACCTATTTTCCAAAAAAGAAACCTGTAATTTCAACTGTAACATGAATGTTTGTAAAGCCAGAAGGGGCATCTAAAAGCTCAAAAATGTGACCTGTTTATTCAGAGTTATTTCTTAAAGGAATAGTACACCCAAAACATGATTAGCCTTCATTTTCTACTCACCCCAATGCTGAACAACACTCTGGAGTACTTTTTTGATATCTCAAATGCATCTGGAGATCTGGGAGGCTTCTTGCTGTCTGCTGACATTCAAATAATGGAGGTCTACGGTGCCCGAGACAGAAAGGTCCATAAAAGTCCACAAAACGTGTGTCAATATTCCTCCATACTGCTCGTCCAATGTATTCCAAGTGTCCTGAGTGGGTAGCATCCAGAATTTAATCGAAACGAAGTCATTTAGAATGTTTTTAGAGCATAAACAGTAGTGTATAGTATTTCCTGAAAGCGCGCGCCAGCGCGTTCAGGACGCTACGGAAGCCGGCAGACCAAACCAGATGAAAGTGCGCATTCGGCGTCTGCTCTGCTGATAATGCAAGCGTAGAAGAAGAAATGTGCTGTTTACCTGTGCAAAGAAAGAAACAACGAAAGAAAAATGTCTGAGGACTTCAGTGTTGAGGAAGAGCAGGAGTTCTTTGCCGAGCTGAATGCGCACTTTCGTCTGGTTTGGTCTGCCGCGGTTTCCGTAGACTCGTGAACGCGCTTTTAGGAAATACTATACACTACTGTTTATGCTCTAAAAACATTCTAAATTACTTCGTTTCGAGTAAATTCTGGATGCTACCCACTCGGGACACTTGGAATACATTGGACGAGCAGTATGGAGGAATATTGACACGTTTTTGTGGACTTTTATGGACCTTTCTGTCTCGGGCACAATAGACCTCCATTATTTGAATGTCAGCAGACAGCAAGAAGCCTCCCAGATCTCCAGATGCATTTGAGATATCAAAAAAGTACTCCAGAGTGTTGTTCAGCATGGGGGTGAGTAGAAAATGAAGGCTAATCATGTTTTGGGTGTACTATTCCTTTAAAAGTACAATGATAGGCATCCCTTTGTGAGGTACTGTAACCCATCAGAACTATATTTTTTGCGGTATGTACATTTGGATGGTATATGATTACTAAAAAGTAATATAGAAAATCTGGGTCTTAAAATCTAAGTTACAGATTTTGTTTTGTATACATACAAAATACATACCCTGTGCATATAAAATGACAATAAAGTTTGATTAAATCTAAGATTGATCATTCAAAAACACAGCTGTCTACTCTTGCCACACAGGAGAAACGTGTTAAATAATATAAAAAAATGGTCAAATTTTTTCAAAACTGTCTTTTATTGCAGATAAATAAACCTTTTTTTCTATTTTTGAAGTTATATCACCTGGTGAAAATAGCATTTTTTGGTAGATTATAGGGTTGTCACGATACTAAACTTTTCAACTCGATCCGATACTAAGGAAAATATTCGATACTCGATACCATTTTCGATACCACAAGGATAAAAACAGACTCCAACATTCTACAGAAATATCTTCATTAATTAATAAAATACAATAAATAAATAAAATAAAGGTTGTATGCTGTGCACAATATTAAGCAAGCTTGATAAAAAACTTATAAAATTAAAATTAAGTGTTCCTTCCTTGGCTATGCTTTGCACACATAACAATGACACTAGCCAAACCGGTTAAGAAACAAAAATAATTCTCAGCAGCTGCACCTGTTACAAAAAAAAGTCTGAAACTGAAAAGTGCGCAGAATTATTCAATCACACAGTGTTTCTGAAAGTGCATTTTCCTCTATTCTGCACTTTAGATGAATGAGTGCTTGGTTGCCACTGGTGGTGGCACTGTATCGATACTTTTAAAAACGAGTATTGTATCCGGATACAACGCTTCAGTATCGATACTTTTTTGAGTATCGATACTTTTGACAACCCTAGTAGATTAGTGTTTCTTTAATAAAAAAACAAAACAAAACACACCCCTGCTGGCATAAATGAGTACTCGCATTCTGTATTATCTGGTAAACGTAGTTTTTAAATATTTTCATAAATACAATGCTCTGGAAAATTATATTTTATATGTTCTTTAATAGTTTGTTTTAAGTCATAATGATACCCAGGATTGTATGCATAGTGTTTTTTGTATTTCAAAATAGAAAAGCATTTCTCATTGGTACTTTGGCTGAGATATAGTATTCATATTCACACTTTATTTTTTTCTCTCCAGCTTTTATTCTTATTACACTGTCACAAGCCCAGAGCAACAAAATTAACTCTCTGTATTTAACTCATCCCCTTGGGGAGCAGTTGACTGCCATTGTGCAGCGCCCGGGGAGCAGTGTGGGGTGAAGGGTCTTGCTCAGGGACCCAAAGAGGCAGTCTGTGGGAGTGGGCTTGAACTCAGAACCTCTGGATTCCAACCTCTATGCCCTAACCACTAGGCTGCCACTCCCCCTAAAAGTTTACTACAGTTTTGCCATAAATTCTCTAATAAAACAACCCCAATATTTTACTTGTTGAACAAATAGGTTTGTAAGTGCCCATAATCAGGATTGATAAAACGTTTATTTCTTTCTGATATTTATTTCTATAATTCAGGTACTCACAGCCTCTTCATGAAGAAATTGCCCTGCACAAGTATCTAAAGCACAGGAACATTGTTCAGTATTTGGGTTCGGTTTCTGAGAATGGATACATCAAGATCTTCATGGAGCAGGTGCCTGGAGGTACGAGTCTACAGAAGAGGGAATTTGTTGCTTCATCTTAACGAATGGAAACTGTTCCTGAGATCCATTGTTTTGATCTATTTCAGGCATCCCCAAAGTCGGTCCTCAAGGGCCGCTGTCCTGCAGGATTTAGAGGTTTCCTTGCTCCAGCACAGCTGATTTTAATTGAAAGCTGCTCAACTGCAATCATCATAATCAGCTGTGCTAAAGGAGGGAAACCTCTAAAACCTGCAGGACAGCGGCCCTCGAGGACTGACTTTGGGGAGGCCTGATCTATTGGTTCAAAATAACTTGGTTGTGTTTCAATTCAAGATGCTTTTAGGACATTTCTTGTTTCTTAATTTTTTCAGGAAGCCTATCTGCATTACTGCGGTCAAAATGGGGTCCTTTGAAGGAGGCGACAATAATCTTCTACACCAGACAGATCCTGGAGGGGCTGCGATACCTGCATGAGAACCAGATTGTCCACAGAGATATCAAGGTACTACTGTAAACACCAGATATTGTCTAATTAAGGTAAATATTGGAGAGATTGATTTGTTTTTAGAGGGAAAGATGTTGATCTCACATTATGGATTTTATTTTGCTGTGTAAACATTAGCCTAAATAGTGCCACTTATCCCCCTGTCAAGCCTTTTGTTGCTTTATTATCACTTTTGAATAGTGACAATTGTAATTTAAAAAAGTATTCTTAATGATATGATTGGTCCTGTCTGCTTAGCTTAGCTGCAATGGTAAACACAAAAACAGATTGGCACGCTACCCATGTTCTTCACTGTTTTATATGTATGTATGTATATATATATATATATATATATATATATATATATATATATATATATATATATAGAGCATATGATGTACACTCTTCCAATTTTTTAAAAATTTTATAAAAAAGCTATCTAGCTTTGAATTTTTAGTTTAAAGAAAAATTATCTTGACAAGTAAAGTTCAAATAAAATGGAACTGAGACCAGAGCCCTGTGGCACTCCATCATTGATTGAATAGCCTTAAATTTCCTGCTGACAGGGACCCATATTTTGCTTAAAAACCCGCAGATTAAGAAACACAAGTCTTTCAATGTAGGTAGAGACGGTATTTAACACCTATGCAGAGTATATGAATCCTATTTAATCACATTTAATTAAATCATACAGGGTGACAATGTGTTGGTAAACACCTACAGTGGCGTCTTGAAGATCTCTGACTTTGGGACATCAAAAAGGTTGGCTGGAGTCAATCCCTGCACAGAAACGTTTACAGGTAACCCATAACATTCTGGACGTTGCTTGCTTAATTTTTTTGTTTCAGAGGTAAATTTGTTATTTATTTTTTTTTTTTTATTGATTTACACTCATTTACATTACAAAATTAGAAAGAAAAGCAGCAAGTTAGATGATAAATAACATATACTATAAAAACACTCAGTAAAGATTAAATATGCAGTTTATATTCAAATGTAATTAATAGGAAGCGAGATATTGTGAAGCTGTTTGCCTTATTAAATATAACAACCGCTGACATTTGTAATCCAGTGATAAACCAACCTTCTACGGGAAATATTGTATTTTTTAAATAAAAAATAATGACCTATATAAATACTAATCAATCACACAAGTATGATAGCCTTGGTCAATTCTGGAACAAGGAGCTGGGAAAAGTTTTTTCTTTTAAGAAAATATTTTTTAAATAAGACTACCTTCAAAATAAAACAGATAACTTTCTAATAAAAGTTGAACAATGCAACAGGAAACTTCACCCCTAAAAATGAAAAAAAAAAAAAAAAAATGCATGGAAATCAATGATTGTTATGATGTTTAATCAAGGTTCAGCAAATAGATTCACAGAATGAAAAAAACTGTCATAAGTACACATGCAGCAATTCAGTATGTGATGTATAAATGGAGTCATTGAAATGCTGCAGTCTCATGCTATGAGAGTAAATATCAAATGTCAAGAGCCACTATCAGCCTCTATGGAAACACTCCAACATACAAGCGTGTGTGGACATACACATTCATTGGCCATCTGGCCTCCTCCTGCAGCCACAGAGGTGTATAATTAGATCAGCTAATCATGCAAAGGCAGGAGGGTGTTTACCTTTCATTAGCAGGTCTTTTGGTCTGCTTATCTGTTTCTGCTGCTTGTCTTGCTGACGCTGTTTCTTTATGCTTTTTCCTGTAAACCTGACCTCTGTTTTGAGATGTAGATACAATTTAAGGAGGCAAAATGGAAGGGTTTTATGTATTTTTTTCGTTTTGTGGCTAATATTATTTATATTAAATTTCTGTATATTTATGTGAAAACACAGTAATTATAAAATTAAGCTACTGTTGAATAAACAACCAGGATGATGTCAGAGATTTTATAACTGTGAAAGAATTTACTAAGACGAAAAGAGCCATTTTATTCTCTGCATGATAGTGTAGTGTCTTGCTTTTAATAGACCAAAAAGCTATTGATGCCAAAGCGATGTAAAAATGTTCATTAGCGATAATGAGAATGCTACTAATGCTACAGGTTTTGCAGCTAACCTGTTTAACTCTCTGTTGTCTTAAAGGGGCCTAGTCACGTAAAACAATGCCTATAAAAGTACACACAGATAGAGATGTCCCGATCCAGGTTTTTGCACTTCCGATCCGATACCGATATTGTTTTTGGACTTCCGATCCGATACCGATACTGGCCGATACCAGCCTATCCGAGCATGTATTTAAGTTTAAGTTAAACTATTTAGCCTTAGTTGTAAGACTCATGTTGAAAAGAGTTTTAGTACTCTTGATAACATCTAGCCAGCTGAATTAGGTGAGATTGAATAAAACACAATGATTGGTAACAACAAACTTACCTGTTTATTAAGAGATAAACACAAACTGGACAAAATTATGAATAGCAATCTGAAATTGCACAGTGAACAGTAAAACCGTAAACAGTTAAAGGTGCAAGTATTACTGTAAGTTTTAATAAAAATGCAAAACAGACAAGAGTGGAAAATATTCTGTTAACTTAGAATCAGGACTCTACTCTTGAAAAAAGACACTGCTTAAAAAAAATCAATACAAATAACAGTGAACTATTACACAAAAATGCCTTAAACTCCCCAATCTCCTCCACACCTGGGCTCTGTTCGAAAACCTAGGACGTGTCCTCCAAGGATGCGGTCTACCTAGACTGGATCCTTCGAAGTCCTTGAAAACAAGGAGACCGGAAGAGTTTTGGCTGTAAATTCGACCAGGTCTACCCTTCGGCGAGTTTTACCGCCGTATGCTCTGTTGCTTAGCAACGTGAACGTTGACACACAAAGCAGGAAAAGAATGAATACAGAAGTTTTCAAAACTGTTTATTTATTTCTTTTTTTATTGTGAAGTGAACAAAGACTACACTCACAAGAATCCAGAGTGGAATAAAGGTTCCAACCACCGGGAGCAGAAACAAATCAAATCAAATGTAATGATAGAAGCCTTAGTCAGTTAAATAAAATGCTGCTGTCATTCTGCACATCTCTGATGTTGCTGCTATTTTCAAATATCCATTACTGTAAAAATGTCCATAGCTGCATATTGGTTATTTATTCCCCAGTTTTATATTGTTAAAACACTTTACAGTATTGTATTGTTTATATTTTAACTCTTCCCTATTATGTTATTCTTATACATTTTTCTAAGGTCCACATTTGTGTGACCATTTTCAATAATCTTTCTGCTGCTGTAAATTTTCCCATTGTGGGAAAATAAAGGGATTTTCTATTCTATTCTATAAAAGGGGTAGAAAGATATAAGTAAATCTAAACAATATATTTATAAAAAATATATCTGCAAAATCTCTAATATTCAACAACAAAAAATACGAAGTTAAGCATATTGTGCAAAATAGCAATAAAAAGATAAAAATCCTATCAGATTTATAGTCCCCACCCTGCAAATATATTAGAATCTGTCCTTAAATTACAGCCAAACCCATTTACACAGTAACAGATTAAAACCTTTAGATAAACCAAACATTACCGCCACAAATCTGACTCAGTAACCATTAAAACAACAATTTTCATTAATCTCAGACGGAACTATTCACAGAGTTGTATTATATTAAACTGAACTTCCAATTTTCACCACTGTTCGGCGCCAAGTAACCTTTCCTCTGATCACAGCTTGCTTGGTCTCGCAATGAATCCTGGGATATCCAAGAATACCGAGGATACATCGGACCCGTCCTTCAAATCGGGCAAAAAGAAGGACGCATTTTAAGGCCGTATAACGAGGACTCTTGGAATCCGACCAGACCTCGGCGCCGCGCAATGACGTAATCGGCCTTCGAATCCGGTCTTCTAAGGATGCGTCCTAGGTTTTCGAACAGAGCCCTAGTCTCCATCTACACATCGTGCAGGATAAAATAATCCCACACGGCTGACATTTTCCCGCTATCTTCCAATTCGCCTGTTTTAATGGTTAGGCCGGGAGACAGACCCAAAAAGACCAGTGGGTGTGTTGAGGGTGTTCTGGAAAATGCGGACCGGATTCGGGGAACACTGGCGCAAAATGGTGGAATGGATCGTTTCAATCGGCGAAACTGGAAAATACGGACCGGATTTTTTTTTTAAAACTGGATCGGCGGTCTGGATCGGCATTTTTACATGGTTTGCCGATACGCATTTTTTTGCCAATATCGGCGTCCGATCCGATACGTGGATCGGATCAGGACAAGCCTACACACAGAATCATAAATTCAACTTGAAATAAAACAATACACAGAATGTTTGATCCTGATAGTTTTTACTTAGTCCTTTTTGAGCCTGAAAAGAATTTTTGCACCTGGCATAATATAAGTAGACTGGCCGGCCAGACTAAATTACATGATGCATAATACGTTCTCATAAACTGGAACAATTAGAGTGCAGGAAACGTGACTTTACAATGTTGACTCTCAGCACCAGAATTACCCACATTGCAGCAGCGCTCTGCTAGCATACAACCAAGTTGGTTATTGCAAATAAGTGAGGTTGCAAAAAAAAAAAAAAATAGAAAATTTTTTGAGAGAAAACCTTATACCCTCGGATATTTTAGGCAAAACCTGCAGAAATCATTCAAACGAGAGTCTCTTCGACTACTTCATATGTTTCACAGACTACAAAATTACAAAAACAGACCGCGTTACTTGGGGTTTTTGTGTCAGATCCATAGTTCTCCGATGGCATTGAAAGGGTTAGTCCCATCCCTAAAATCAAGCTGTACCAGTTCTTTACCCGACTGATATGCCGTCGTATATACTACCGCATAGGAGTCTGGATAACCAGGCTAGCACACCCAGTCGATATAAAAATGGTCCTACCCCTCTGCTACAGTCCATCCATCCATCCATCCATCCATTCATCCATCCATCCATCCATCCATCCATCCATCCATCCATCCATCCATTCATCCATTTTGAATTTGGCTTTCTTTTTATAAGTTCGCTGAGAGTTTCTTGGCCCCATTACTTTTTGCTTTTCATACAAAATATTTTACCACCGGTTTTGTGGGAAATATACACAAAGCATTAAGGTTAGTAACAAAATAGAACAAAAACAATGTTTTAAAACATTGAAATAAATACAAGAAGCCAACAGGGTGTGACCATGTCATCAGAAAGCCTTTGTATGCAAACAGAATGAGCTACCGCCATAAAGATTTGTAAATTCATAGTATGAGGCCACTTTAAGCTTGTCGAGGATCAGCTTTATTTTCTCAGGGATACACAGCAACCCAACAGAGCACGCACTACAGTGCTGTAAGTCATGATCCTTTTTATTTGACTTCAGGTGAAGGTTGCAATATAAACTGGTGTACTGACTGTTTCTTTGGTTTATATGATTCTTACAACAGCAGATGGTGTCAGCACCTCTATTAATCCAGACAAGGCCTCAATCTGTTTTCCCCCCTAAGTTCCACCAATCAATCCAGATAACACACCAACATACCATAGCTATATTTTTATGCTGTTTTTATGTTTTTGTTTTTTAAACTGAGTTTTGAATCTCTTAGTACATGTATATAGTGACAATACAATAAAAGCACTCTATTATATTCTTTATTCTAAAAGAAACTAGTTCTAAGAGCGGAGATAAAAGCTTTGGTTATAAAAGGTCTGGAGAGACGTTTTACAGCATCGATGGCTTTACCATTCCCTGCCACAATTATTACAGAAAATCTCTCTAATATGATTGTTAGGACAAAATATGTACGTTGCAGAATAACTATACAAAAGTATAAATACATCTTCTTACAGATGGCTTGAATCAGAAGAACATTAATTTGCATGACACATTACCACTTCAGCTCAGTGATTTTTGAAGTATCCCAGCAACATTAATCAGCAATAAAACTGTTCAGATTTAGACTCAAATTAAACCTAATTTCTATTAAAGGAAACATGCTCCTTCAACACTTAGGCTGGGTTGATTAATGATTAAAAAGTAATTTAGAGATAGTTGCACAATTTTTGTTGTAGGTACATTGCAGTACATGGCTCCAGAAATCATTGATAAGGGCCCTCGGGGTTACGGGGCCCCAGCTGACATCTGGTCTCTGGGATGCACTATCATAGAAATGGCCACTGGAAAACCTCCATTCCACGAGCTCGGAGAGCCACAGGCAGCCATGTTTAAGGTAGGAACAATGCAAAGATTCGATGTCTTTGGAGAGTTTTCTTTTCTTTTAATTTAAAGTTGTTGTTGTTTTTTACGTGGCTTTTCATTGCAGGTTGGAATGTTTAAAATCCACCCAGAGATTCCTGAATCTTTATCCTTAGAAGCCAAGTCCTTCATCCTGCGCTGCTTTGAGCCCGATCCGAATAAGAGAGCCATCGCTGCTGACCTGCTCAGAGATATTTTTCTACGGCAAAACACAAAGGGGAAAAAAAACAAGATTGCCTTCAAACCAACAGGTGACAGACAGTTAAATACAGTGCTTATAGCTGAAGCCTTTCCCATCTTAATGTTTCTGCCGTTCTTCACAATGTACTTATGTATTAGTTGGCACAAAGTAAAAAGTAGGAAATTCAGATTTTTTTTACTTTAGAAATATGTATAGAATGAATTAGAGGACAATTTACTACATATATACACATTTCGTTTATAGCTGTTTTATGCAAATTTGTCTCTCCTGTATTCTCGTGTTTTCAGACTACATCCATAACGTTTCCATTCCAGTGCAGCAGCAGGGTGAAACTGCTGGCAGCAGCAGCAGTGAACATGGCTCAGTGAGTCCAGACTGTGACTCCAAACATGACATTTTCTTTCAGAGGAAGAAACCCTCTGGTTCCGAGAACCTCAAAACATCCAACTCCAACTACCTAAGGTGAGAGCAGATTGTTTCCCTTGCTTTATCGTGCCGTTGATCTATACAGTGAGATACTGAGATACAAAGCACAGATTTACAACTTAAACAATTAAGAAACAAAACATTTGTAATGGTATCAAAATTCCTGAAAAAACTGTTAGCAACTGATCATTTCTGAAGATAAGTCTGGCAATATATAAGAAAAGTATAATAAAATGAATAATAATTAACAAAAAAAGTAGAAATGTACCACAATATGGGTTTTTCTTTATCACAAAGGGTATGCCTCAAGGCTGTGTTGCAGGACCTCTTCACATTATGTTAACAATAAGGGACATAAACTTAAAACCTCTATGCTGATTATGTGTTTTTTTATTATAACAAAAATAATGCTGTCCGAGGTGTTATAGTTCATCCTTTACATTTGCCATTCTGCATAATTTAGGGACTGTTTATTTTGCTTTTTCTATTTTTGCAGTTTTGTTTTATAAATAAGTACAAAAATATCCCATAAATAGGAAAATTTGTTCCGACGACCCACATCCTTTCATGCCTCTTTTGGAAGACAGCTCCTATCAGAATCAGATCAAAGTAGTTTCCTTTAATTTACTCTGTCTACTCATAAAATAATGTCTGTATGTGACCTCAGTTTATTTACATGCGCAAGCAGGTATTGTCTCATTGTTTTGATTTGATCATTGCTTATAAAGTTTCATATTGATTAAAAGTAAAAGTATTCTGGACTGTTTGACAGCTTTTTTTTTTTTACCTAACACAAACCACAATTTGTAGAAGATTAATGCAATTTCTAATAATTTCTTAGTTGGTTTTGTTTCTTTTTATTGTCTGATTTATAATTTTAGTTGAATATGGAGAGAAATAATGATACTAGCAGTTAAATACATCGGTATGAAATGGTTTAGTCACCAGCATGAAATGAAGAGTGGTTGGAAAGACACAGAATACATTTAGAAAGAGGTCAAATAAGATTAAAGCTATTTTTAGAGAGATATTGTTTGTTTGTCTTTTCTTGAGACGAATGGCTATGTGTCTCAGTTAGCCGACTTGTGTAAAGATGGGCAAAAATTTAAAGTATAAAGATTTAAAGACCCAACCTCTCAGGTATTCACCTGCTCGTCCATTCTGTAAATGATTCTGTGCATGTTTAGAGGACAGGTGGACTCTTTGTGCTTTGCTGCTTTTTACAACAGCAATATAATAAAGCCTGATTATTTTGTGATCCTCAGCTGGTGGATGTGCACACATTTAATATCTCATCCGCTATAACATGGGCTGCATACATCAGTTGCAGGTCCAGCCTTATTCATGCCTCTCTGCGCACACAGTAGCTGGGAGAGGATTGTATCTTTAAGTAAACTGAATCAGAGGGTCAGGCTGTTGTAAATTGTTGAGCCAATTCCTCTTTTGCAGCGTCCCAGATGAGGGTTCAGTTTCAGAGGACCGCAGTGTTCCCCCCTCACCTGAGGACAGGGACAGCGGTCTATTTCTCCTAAAGAAGGACAGCGAGAGACGAGCGATTCTCTACAAGGTCCTTAATGACGACCAGGAGAAGGTCATCTCCAACCTGAAGGAAAACCACATCCAGGTCAGTGTCCATATAAAGCAAGGAAATCATTGGGTGGAGACAAAAAGCAGACAAATCAGAAAAAAGAAGCTCCCCAGATAATGTAATTAAAAGTATAAGCGATCTAAGGCAGCATTAGCCCGAAACATACACCTCAAAGTAAATTTAAGTGCAGTACTTACTCTCTAAAAAGAAAAGGTTTCTCCAACTTAAATGAAATGTTTAAAATTTACCTAATTTTTTTTAGGTTTATAAGTTGAAAAATTTAATAAATTAAGTTGGGCAAACTTAATTTGAGGTCAGGCAAGTTTAAGGTAAGCTTATTAAAGTAGTTCATTTCATTAGCAAGACAATTCAAGGAGATGCACATTAAAAAAGAAACACAGTAGGAAAGACAGAGAAAAGCACATTACAGTGGCATAACTACATAACTGTGAATCATGTTAATAACCATAAATAATTAAAGTGAGTAAAAAATGATTATAGGATGATTATAAAGGTAAATAATTAAAATGAATAATAATGAAATACAAAATAAAAAAAAACAGTGTTTAGATAGCACAGTCAAAGCCCAGACTTTTTTATATCGATTCAAAGCAAGAAAAGGTTTTACCCTTTTAGTATTCTTGGAGTTTTATTTTAGATTAGTGGAGTTTATGAACTAAAATCTGCTTCTCTGTGGTTGGTTCTGGTTCTGCAGAGTAGACCTGAGCCAGACAGATCTGAGAGATCTGAGTGTGGGGGGGTCCAATGACAACAAGTATGTAATGGGTTGTGGAGCTAAGCCATTTAGTGATTTGTAGACTAACAGAAGTATTTTAAAGTCTATTTTTATAGTTACAGGGAGCCAGTATAGCTATTTTAGAACTTGGGTGATGTGCTCCCCTTTCTTAGCCTTAGTGAGGATGCAGGCAGTGGCATTCTGTATCAGCTGCAGCTGTCTGATCAACTTCTCAGCCAGACCTTTGGAGACACCATTACAGTGATCCGTTCTCCTAAAGATGAATGCATGAGTTAGTTTTTTAAGGTTTTTTTTTTATTATTTTTATCTAGGACATGTTTTTTATGTGATAGAAAGCCTACCTTGTTGATGTCTTATGAGCCTCTAAAAGATCAGGTCTGAGTCCATCACTATACCTAGATTCAAAGGCAGATTGGTGGTTTCTGGCTGTATAATCTGAAGCAGTTTGTTAACTTGTAATTGTTCTTACCTTGATCTTAAAACTGTTACTATAAATACATGACCTTAGTAGGATCTTGCTTTGACTTAAGTAATAAAACTGACCACTTTGTCCTCCGCTGCTTGTTACTGAGCTTCTAAACTCATATACATGTACATTTATGTACTTACATTGATGTGTACTTAAAGTACACTAGTTATAAACTTATAAGTCAGTATACTTTCAGTTTACTTGTAGTGTACTTATCAGCGATATATTTAACTAAGTATATCTTACTAGAAAAAAAGTATAGTAAAAGTCTAACTATATCCCATACTTATAAGTTGAACTCATATATTCATAACAATAACAGCAAATTTACACAAACGTGTTTGTTTGTTGTTAACAGCAAGATTCTGTCTTAGAGTTTTGGCAACAAGAAAGCTTTGTTTTTAGCTTGTAAGGTACAGTATCACACATAGAGTATTTTTTCATAGTGTATTTCAAAGAGATTTTTTTATTTTTATTATTCATATTGGTATCTTTCATATGCCAACAAAAATAGTAATTAAATAATATTTTTATTCCACAAAAGCAAACCAAAAAAGCGAATGAAAGCATGAAGGTTTACATATCGCTACAAATAAAAGTTCCAAAACTAAAATACTAAAGAAAATCAGAATCATAAACAACAATACACAGTATTATCGAGGCTATAGCAGCTGTTAATCATGTTAACTGACAGCTAAATTGAAGTCTAACTGGAAGGTTGTCTGTATTTTTGAGTGGACATTAAAGTCTATTACAACTAAACTAAAAGCATACTGAGACTACTTTAAGTACACTTCAAAATTATATTAAACAAAAAAAAAGAAAAAAAATGTACTGGTCTGAGTCTTTTGGTTTTGCCTTAACACTGAATGGAAATCAAAATGAAACTAGCCTATAAAAATACAGGAAAGTCATCCTCCAAGTATTCAAGACATTACACAAAGCTATGTTAGCTTCACTGCCTATTGCCTTTGTAATACCTTCTAATTAATTATATCCTTATTATTTGTTGCTTATGTAAATGTTTGCTTTTCATATTCTTTTTTTTTATCATGGCCATTGAGGTTTTTAACAAAAAAGAAAGATAAATCTGTGACATTTCTTTCTCTGTGCTGACCTATAGAAAATAATACATTAAAAAGCATAAAAAAATAAAATAAAATTTTGTATAATAATAGTAATTGGTGCTTGTCATGAAAACTTAAAAAAGGTAGTATTTTCCAAAATAACCAGTAGGGGGTGTCAGAGTTCTTTTAACAGCGTCAAATGTTGCCTATTCAGGCTGGAAAAAGTGATGTTCACTGTCTATACCACAGTATTTTAAAATTGTACACAACTCAATGTGACTTCATCATATTTTTACTCAAGTAAGAGCAAAAAGTAAACATCCAAGCAAAAACTTAAGAGTAAAAAAAAGTTAAAAGCCTTCTCAAGTACTGAGGAACCTATCATAATATCTGATATGATGTAATAACTAAAGGCCAAAATACAAATTTATGTGCAAATAAAAAAAAAAAAAACAGAAAACCATTAATATTTACTCCTTACTGTAAATTAGACATCCAAACATCATGGTAGGTCTAAGTACACTTGTTTACAAAAGAGAAAACACATTTTCACATAAACATTAGCTGTCTTTGTCTGGAACACTTTCTTTTTAGAAGTCGGACCTTTTGCCTCAAGTAGCTGTAGCAGCATTTATATATATTAAGATGTTACTGCAGTGAAAGTAAAAAGCAAGGTGCAGTTAACATACTAAATGTACATTTTCTTCAAAAGGTCACTTTAATAGAGTCAGTGTAACTTTTCACTACCCACCCTGTTGATGTATTTTAATACATTTTGTTTGTGGATGTGAATTTGTGATTTCAGGGAAGCGAGGAGCTTCTGCTCTCTGTAGACCACATCAAGCAGATCATCTGCATCCTTCGGGATTTTATTCACTCTCCGGAAAGACGGGTCATGGCGGCCACCATCTCCAAACTCAAACTAGATCTGGACTTTGACTCTAACTCGATCAACCAGATCCAGCTGGTGCTTTTTGGCTTTCAGGACTCGGTCAGAACAAACACAATCACTGGGATTTGGATCAAACATGCGGAGATCATAAAAATAATATACTAGATAGGATTCTTGAGCAGCTAATGGGGCTTTGTAAATGTTAAATATTTTGCCCTACAGAAGGAAAGACATATTATTTCTGTATGGTAGTTTGGATCACATGTAAAAAAAAAAAAAAAAGAAAATAATTGAAAGTTTCTAAGAACACTTTTTAATTAACTGAATTTTGGTTTAAATGTATTTCTCCTTAAATATGTAAAAAACTGAAATTGCTCTCAATGTCTTGAACAGTAATAAAATGCAACTTTTTTCAAAGTGTCACTTATGTTTCTGATGCTTTCAGGTGAACAAGGTCCTGCGGAATCATCACATCAAACCTCACTGGATGTTTGCCATGGATAACATCATCCGCAGAGCTGTGCAGGCTGCAATCACCATCCTCATTCCAGGTAGGAGAATCAAAACGGCTCAAACCCCCAACATTCTGAAGAACAAGACACTGTACCTGCCCTATGTTCGGAGATTTCCTGAACAGTGTTATGATCAAGCATGATATACGTATGGTTAACTGGGGAAGTGAGGAGTGAGTATTTTAACTACTGTAGACAGCATAAGGGATTTGAATTTGGGGAGGAACAGAGAGCATCTAATGCAGGAGTCTAGCTTACAGCAGTGTTGGAACATTACAACATGACATTTGGCCTATCAGCGTTTGCTTAAAGCAGACACTGAGGTGTCAAGAAAAGGAAAATGATTTATTTAATGCCTTAGAGGCAAGCCAGTTCTGTAAAGAAGTAAGTTGCAAGAGGCAACACAAACAGTAAAAGATAGTAAAAGTGACACATTTAAATAGGTAAATTATTTATTTATATATATATATATATATATATATATATATATATATATATATATATATATATATATATATATATATATATATATATATATATATATATATATATATATAAATAATGATTGGTAAATTATTAATAAACCTAAATTGATGTGGAAAACAAATCAAAAGGTATACCACAGACTTAACCATAATGTTTAAATGGCTTAGTCAAAGGTGATTCTGAACAAATTTGTTTTAAATCCTGATTTAACTAATGGGTTTCAGGGCTTTGATAGTTTTCTAGGAGTTTATTTCATATCTGTGGAGCATAGGAACTAAATAATGTTTCTTCTTGTTGGGTTCTGGTTCTGGGTATGCAGAGTAGATTAGAAGCAGAAGACCGTACAGGTCTGGGTGGCTGATCCACTGACAGCAAGTATGTCATGTATTTTGTTGTTAAGCCATTTTGTGAAGTACTTATTTAAGTGTCTTCTCTGAGACACGGGGGGGCCAGTGTAGCGTTTGCAGCACTGGGGTACTGTGTGTTCATGTTCTTTGTTTTGGTGAGGACGAAAGCAGCAGCATTCTGGATCAGCTGTAGCTACGTGATCCACTAGGCAGACCTGTTAAGACATTGTTAGAGCATGAATTAGTCTTTCACGGTACTGCGGAAATATTAGTCCTTTAATCCTGGAGATGTTCTTTAGGTGGTAGGAGGCTGAATTTATCACTGTCTTTATGTTCCACTAAAGGTTCAGCTTTAGAGCCTGATTGGTGGTTTCTAGCTGGATTTACTGAAGCTATGTTAACTATTGAAAACTATTCTTTTGGTCCTTCTAAGCATTTACCCAGCATTTGAATTGGTTAAAAGTCACCAGGTGACATGATAGTAATGTACAGCTGTTTGTCATCTGCATGGTTATGGTAACTTATGTTGATTATTTTTAAAAGTGAAATTCTTCACTGATGCATATAGATAAATGTCATCATATTACAGTGTAATTAAACATTATAAATTCACGCACAAGGCCAATTGATGTAAAACCAAATTTATTCAGAAATGTATCATATAGTAAAACATTATGGAATATTAATCAGTTAGGGTAATGTTAACAGTGTATCATGCTAACACCTGTATATAGCAGGTGGGAGACCTGCAGGTTTAACTTGCAATACAGATTTTACAAATAAGCCAAGCCAATTTTCACTTTGAGTAAATTATAGATAAAAGCTATTGTGTCACGGAAATTACACCAACAGAAATTTGCTTAACCTGCTGAAGAAGTTTATTTTAAGATGACTCAAACTAAGCTTACTCTACTGACTGCTCAAACTCTCACGCAACCTTAAATGAGAAGAACAACTTATTCTATTTAACATATATCTATATCATGGTGTGTAATTATAACCTAAATGATTGGTTTTAACCTTCAGAGCTGCAGACCCACTTTGGGCCAGCCTCAGAGTGTGAGGGGGCAGAGAAAGATGATGAGGTGGATGAAGAAGAAGCAGAATATGGCCCTGTTTTAGCTCCGACCTCAGATGACCCTGGATCCACACCTGACCCCGCCCTAAGTTGCACCAGTACTGTGAATTCCAGCCACGCTCAGGAGGCTCAGCGCTTGCACGCCCCATTAGGAGTCCAGCTTGGACGACTCAAGCAGGAGACCAGCAGGTATTAACAAAAACAAAGGACCAGCACATGTTTTTTGCAAAATGATACAAAGTGAGGTGGAAACTATTTACTGTGCGTTGAGGCAAATGGAACTTCAACAGTTCATTTCAAACCAGTATTATTAGATTGTTGGTTTATTAGTGGAGCAGAAGTGATGTCACTCTTAGGAAACAAACACGCCTGAAGGCATTTCATAAATGTACGTTTGGTCTGTGGGAAGTTTCCATTTGAGTATGTGTTTTAAGTTCCAATATATAGCAGCTGAACAAAATTTTATTAGGCTACAAATGAAGCTAAAACTTTATGATTTGTGCACAGGTGCAACAATTTCAAAAGCAATTAATTAAATAATAATTTTAGATATGATATAGAACTTTGTAAAGAATTCCTACAGATTTTTTAAAACACAATTTTTTAAAGTGAATGTTTCTTACATTTGTCATTGTATTATTTTGATTATCATTAATAATAATAATAATTATTATTATTACTATTGTAATAATAATAAGGTTGCATGTATGGCTTTTTTTCATATAAACTATTTTACATTTCAGAAGGTTCTTGGAGCCTGTTTTATGCATTTTATTTATTTTCTTGTTTGCCTCAAAACCTTCAACATTGCCTCTTAGAAGTCGGTGTTATGCATACAGATTTCTAGCAATAGTTTATTTGGAAACTCTTTCTCTGGGTTGTCTTTCAGGATTCAGACCAATTTAAAAGCATATTATTTTCAAATATTACTACCATATAAATAGAAAATGGCATTACATGACATTTACAAAATGTTGACCCATATCTGAAAGCATGCACCCGGGCTCGTTCTGCACACATGTACATTTTTACTCTTTAGACACATGCATTTTTATCCAATGATGAATTTCCAGGTACCTTTCAGGGATCCCTGAAAATTCATCACTGAATAATCTTCAGATTTTTATCCACTGCAGTTCTAGTAGTACCCTCACTGAAAACCACATCATTACATTTCCACCTTGATTAAAAAACGTACAGAAGTCGGTTTTAAAAACTAGCTTTTCAGTCACCATACCTTGGGGCTAACCTGACTTGAAAGTGCCCTAAATGTTAGCTTGTAAAACAAGTTTGCAGGCCCTGCTACTCTAGCCAAGGAAAATACAAAACACAACACATTTGCAGCTTGCAGTATGACATAGTAAGCTAGTTTATCAGTGCACTGAAAACAAAAAGTGGTAAAATATTGTCATTCTGATCTATGAAAGCCCAATGAGCTCATACCCCTTTATTTGAGAAGAAATAATTATATCTAAAATGGAGACGGAAATCAGAGGGAATACTTCCTTAAAAACTTGACTGGAACTGGGTCTGACATACAAATTTAAGGTTTAGATAAAGGTATTTAGCTCACTCTTAATGCTTAATTGGATCAAAACAGTCTAAACCCAATTCAGGTTCTGCAGTTACCTCAGCGGCTGCCTCAATTATTTATTTTTTTCATAGGCTCAAAGTTATTGATAAGCAATCCCATAGAAGCATTACTGCTTAAATTTCACCCTATGTGTTTGGCAACTAAATAAAAAAAAACCCAGAATAGTTCTTATTCTATTAGTAAAGAGGAATATGCTGTTCTAGCTCTAAAAATGGGTCATCAATTACGGCAGTAGAATGTTTTTTCAGATTCAGTTGGATTCCTGTAGTCAAGTACCATTTTTTTATGCAGTATCCTAGAATTAGAATTATCCATCAAAGTATGTAGCTCTGTGTTAAACCAAGAAACCAGCCTCATATTGACAAAGTTCTCACTTTTAAAGGGACTGTGTTGTCTAAAGCAGTACACAGAGAATTAGTAAGCCCATCATCAAAATCATCAATTTGTGAAGTGGAATATATTAAATGGTTGCCTCTGCAGTATTGTTCAGCAATACAGAGGAAATAAAAAATGGAAAAGATTCTTTAAAACGTATTACTGCATTAGCTGATAATGATCTGCTAAACTGAAACAATATTAGTTAACTCTGTTAAATTAAGGTTTAAGGTTACTAAGTGTTCAGATAGGGTTATGAGGAAATACTGTTATTTCATCACCATTAATGCAATGTTTCAGCGCAAGATCGAAAGTATGAAGATTGGATAGTGCGGGTCTATGCACATTTTGAACAAAGCCAATCCAGTCTAAGATAGCTTTAAATGTTGCATTTAAGCTGTCACCATTAATGTCAGGATGAATATTAAAATGTCCTGCTATAAAGTCCTTGTCAGCATTTACATCAGATAGGAAGTCTGAAAAATTATCCAGAAATTGAGAGTAAGGACCTTGTGGAGAGTAAAAAGTTACCAGCAGAAGATGTTTTGTTGCTTTACAATTTGGATGGGGAAACTAAAGGTTAAATGTTTAAAAGAGTTAAAACCATTAACTGGCCTTGCACTGATCAATAAATCAGACTAAAAGATTGTTTCTACTCCTCCTCACACATAATTTCTGGGCATGTGAAAATGTAAATTAACCCTCTTGTTGCATACAGGTCGAATTTATTTTGTGTGTATCAAACTTTTTTTGAGCCTTTGTTATTAATACTACATACTTCTTTAAACATGATTCCCCTGGTCCGTATCAGGTTATAAAACAGTAAAGTTTACTTAACGATTTATTATCTATTTTTGCATCATTGTTAACATGACTGGGCAAAGCTTTGTCAAACCAAGAAGATAAGACCAAATCTATTCTGATTTGGTCTTATCTTCTAAAGGATATTGTCAATGGTCTTCTGGATCATTCAGATGCAACTCTGCAAATCTTTTTGTGCTACTGCATTCTTCAGGTTGAGAGAGGTTTGAGGTTTTTCCCCTTGCACTTAATTCAAACAAGCTTAACTAGTTTTCTCTAGTGTACTGTCATGAACTCTTCTGACACTATACTTTGTCTAAAACACTTTGTCTGATTAAGCTCTTGTGTGTTTCAGTTTCTCTGAGCTTTGCAGTCTGACCCAGCTGAGATGTCCTCATCTAGGGTAGTTTGGTATCCAATTTAAATGATTTCCACTAGTGAATAATCTCTCTCTATAGAGTGATAGAATTAAAAAAACTGTCATATAACCCATTCCAAATTGAAATGCAGCAAAAAATGTATTTCTGGCATTGGTCCACTTTGTTCTTCAAACACTAATCTTAAATTAAACAGAGTCGCAAACTGCAAAAACCTTTACTTTTGTGCATTTTTTGTAAACTTTATGGGACACTGATAAGTTTAAAGTATGGTAAGGACTTTAGAAATAACCTTAGTTATGTTTCAGTAGTGTATGTAGAGCAAGGAGCAAAATATATTATGCATAAATGTAAGTGTGTCTTGGTAAACCGAATAAGCAGGAGGGCAAATTGAGTTCTCATTTACATAAAGGGTTGTATAGTTTTTCCAGGACTTCAGCGTCTGTCAGAAAAAAAGAATGATGCTGATTTTTCTGGCTTTTAGAGATTTAGCCAGCATCTAAGTATCATGAGAACAAAGAACAAAATGTTCTGTCTTTTACAGACTAGCACAAAGTTCGTGGGAGGAACCAGAGACGTCTCCCCTCACCCTATTTATATATAAACACTCTGCACTGAAAGACATCAGAACAATTTTTTTTTCCATTTACCAGAAAGGCTTTTTGCAATATTTCCTTAGCAGTTAAGTTTAAACAGTAGGACTGTCTGATACTGATATCATACGAGCACTAACAAACTATGATGACAGCCTTCACAGAGGCTGTCAGCAGCAGAGATTGATCTGAAGTCAAGCTGTAACTGCAGCCTGAGGCATATTTCCATGTCTAACGGTGATGAAGACGCTGTCTGATACAGGACCTGTCTCTACCAGCCTTATGTGTTTTTCTAAAGCAGCTTAAACTTTAAAGAAGCATCAAGCACCCAAAGCATCATTGGAATTGGAGGTGGGGGTCCTTCTCCAATATTGCAATGGCAATTGGAGGATAATAATTCTAGGAAATTATGTTCATGCAATATAAAGCCTATTTGAAGTATTTTTTCACAACCTGTTGTTAAAAAAGAAAAAGAACATGTTATTGGCCTTATGTTGAAGGGGCTAAAACTTGCACATGATCTGGATCACTACCTATTTTGAATGAATTGTTAATTGTCATGGTAAGAAATTTTCATAAAGTCCGTCGATAAGTTTTCAGTTGATCCTGCTAACAAACCAATAGCGTTCCCTTTTCTTGTGTTTTTGTCCTTAATAAAATAACTCCAGACTTTTTGAACCTGATGCTGAGGATGTCAATAGTCACTGTGGCCACCCTCTAGTTTAGTGGGGAACTGCTTGTTCCACCAAATGTGCCTATCTCACAATTTTAGACAATCTTTTAAAAGAATATCCTGTATTCAGATAATGATCTGTATCATCACCAAAGTTCAACGGATTGCTCCTTGGCATGAGGGAAACCTCTGATGAAATTTTTTTAATTAAAATTCATCCATGATTTTTCAAATTATCCTGTACACATACAGACAGACAAACTCTCCTAAAAACATAAGCTCCTTCGCAGAGATAATGAAGTATGGCAATTTGATTTAAGCCAGCATTTCAAACATTTTATTTGCCTCAACGGACATCAGAAGTGACATGTTTGTGGAGATCTGTATGCCCTTTGGGAAGGGCTCTTTTGAAGATTACCTACTTTTTACAATTACCACTAAAACATATCTGATATTGATTTCAAAACATTTCCTTTTCACAGTGGATAGATTATATATACATAACTAGGTAACTGCAGAAGGGAAATTTCTTTAAGATTTTTCATTCTAAAATAAACCCAGAAACCTTTTTCCTTTTTCCTTATTACCTCACTAATGTGCCTCTTTGTTTTGGTCCACCACCTAAAGTCCTTCTAAAATGTGATCTTTGCCATGTTAGCTCATGTTAGGGGAAAGATACCTGCTCCAAAATACTCAGCCCTCCTGTCAACAGCTAAACCAAGACTTGTTTATTGGACTGAAAGCCAAACAGACTTCATTTGTCCCTGCAGGAAACAAAGTGAACTACTCTAGAGGGTAGCTAAAGATGCAGCTACACTGCTTTAGAAACCCATTTCATAGATCTATTTTATGTTTGAGTCTTTACAGCTGTATGGTAAATCATAGTAGCGGATACTGAAATGAATAAACTATAATGTTTATGTTTACCCAGAACAATTTATTCTCAAAGTATTAAAATGAGAGTTTCCTGGAGCATTGAGCCTAAGCTCATCCCGAAATCAAAGCAGGATATGAGGTTAAATCTGGTTTTATGCTTATACAGCAGTTTGAATTTAAACTGAAACAGAATTTCTAATAAAAGCAGCGTTTACCCTTGTCAAACGCCAGGTTAAAGAGTAGGTATGAAAAATATCTCCAGTTCTTCTTGAATGAACTGGAGGTAGAGGGGCAGAATGTGATAATAATTGAACTTTATTGATCTCATATTGGAGAAATTTACCTCTGCATTTAACCCATCCCTTTGAGCAGCAGTGGGCTGCCATCGTGGGGCGCCCGGGGAGCAGTGTGGGGTTAAGGGTCTTTGCTCAGGGACCCAGAGTGGCAGTCTATGGAATTGGGGCTCGGACTCAGAACCTCAGAGTTCCAGGCTCTATGCCCTAACCTCTAGGCCGCCACTCCCCAACATGTGAATTAAACATTCCAGTGTTGTAACCCTTGGGAAGATGGATACTTACTTCAGTGATACTTATACATTTAGTGCAAAATTATCAACCTTACACAAACCTCCTAAAAACATTACCTATTCACAATTATTTATGATTCTGCATAATTTCATCTACCTTATTCTTACTCAACAGGAAACTTAAAGTTTCTCAAATGAATACCAAAGATTATTATTTTGTTTACACAGATGTAAAAGATTCTTTTTTTAGATGCAGAGCATTGCATTTTGCTTGAGGATATTCCTTAAACAGAAATAAAATGGAATGCTGCATTTTCAGAAAGAACAATACAAAGTATGTGTTAGCCTTCTATTTTAGGTCTGTTTACAAGGTCTACTGAGCTCATTGGTGGAGAAACTCAGTGTCATGTGAATCCCAGCCATAAGGAAATAAAAATACAGCAGGTGTAATTTGTATGTCTGTAATAAAAGGTGTGAGGTTGCAGGTTTATTTTTGTTGGCATATTTCTTTCTTTTTAAAGGCACTGGCTTGTGAAGAAAGACATCAATAAATTTGTATTGCAACATGTTTCTTAATGTGACAAACTTGTACTAACAGGTTGTTTCACAGAGAAGAATGTGTGCCCTCCTGGAAAAAAATAGTTGAAACAGCCAACTGTCAAAGCATGTAAAAAAAAAAGGCAATCTCTATATTTTCATTTAGCATCATTGAGGTGAGGGTATGTTAAACAGTTTGCTATTATCATTTCCTCTAAGAAACGGTTAGCTCTTGGTATGAATCGTTCATCAAGGTCCTGAAGAAGAAACAATAAACAATGTAAAAAAATTAGGACCAAAACATCAAAGCACTGGCAGTAAAGCAGTTGCTCTGCTCTTACAAAATTTCCACTGAGCAACAAGGAACTAATTTCATTGTGTGTTTTGGTGTTTTAATGTTTTTATGCCCAACACTTTGTATGCTGCTGTCTTAATGCTTGAAAAGTTGGCTTGGCTAGTTCTACAGTTCATGCAAAGATCAGCCTGAAACCTGATACTTTTTATTTCTGTTTAACTATGAATCCATCGTCTTCCACTTATTTGACATCTGCCTGAAGGGCTGATAGGAAGGAAGGGAACCCCAGACTTCCCTCTCACCATCAACAGCCTCCAGCTTATTCTGGGGATCCCAAGGCGCTCACAGGACAAACAGGATGTATAATCTCTCCAGCAGTTTCTTACCTTATCTCTAAGCCTGGCATCACTCCTACAATGCTTTGTCCTTCCACCATTCTCTGAGTGTACAGATAATTTGTTGTCTTTTTTAGAAATTGACACATTATGCTCAGTCATCAATAACATACTTGATCCGTATATATGATGGATGGCCGGGAAGAGCTGTCCATCAATACGTTGGGCAACAGACATGGTAGAATTGAAACATTAACTGGAAAGGCTTTGATTTGTGACAGAACGAAGGATGCATGGGTTAAGGAGTCTTTAAGAATGAGCGGTACAGACCACACAGAGAGGAAGCTCATTTTGGCTGCTTGTATCCAGGATTTTCTTTCTTCCAGTGATTATCTAATACTAATTGTCATATGACGGAGTCATAATGTTGAAGATCAGCAAATCCAGTGCTTTAGTTTTTGGTCTAGTACTTTCTTTACCATGACAAACATTGTGGACACAACAGAGTACAACAGCATTGGCTACATTACAGCAGACAAAGCCCTAATTTGTCTGCACATCTCCTATTTAATCTTTCTATCACACTTGAACAAGACATTAAGATACTGAAACTTAAACTCCCTTGAAGAACTTAACTCACTTGAAGCAAAGATCTTCACCAACCCAAAGGGTCATTTCACTATTTTTTGGGCAAGAAGAATGGCCAGGAATAGAGCTGACTCTCCTTCAAGCTCCATCAGTGAACCACCCAGGGGAAAACTAGAGATCAAGGTCAGAAGAAGCTAACTAAACTACTTAACCTGCAAAAGTAAAAGATAAGCTTTCCAAACCAGACATCCACATCTCCGCCACTACACCTTGAGTTCCTGTTTATGAATACCACAGAAAGGATCAGGGCAAATCCACAATGGCATACGCAAACGCATACTGGGAACAGGATCAGCAGCCACACTCCCACACTCCCTTCTTTCATTATTATGTTATTAAATGAACATTGTTGATTATTATTGGGACTTTCTGTTGGTGCAGGTTACTGGAGGAACTGTTACAGAAGGAAAAGGAGTATCAACATGTCCTGAAAGCCACGCTGCAGCAGAGGACTCACGACTTGGAGCTGATCCGAGTTAGACACAGACCACCAGGTGAACTCCCTGACTCACTGTTTTGTCGTTAAGACATATTATTCCTTTTAAAGTTCTTTATTACATCCTGTGTTTATACAGGGTGAGTCAGTCTGCTTCCTGTTCACATGAAATCACCCTTTTACCGATAGGAATCAAAAGTACATTGAATTAAATGAAAGCCCTATAATTAATTATTTCCTCCTGAATGAATGAATATTAAAAATTATATCTTTACCCGAGATGTTGGGAAAACAAACTCTATCTTTTAGAAATGTACAGAAAAATAAATAGATTTAGCCTTCGTAAAAATAGTTACTTATTAAAGCATGTCAAAAAAAACGGTTGTCTTTCTGACATTCTTGAGCCTTCTCTTGGTGGATTTAGAAGTTCAGTTATAGGCTCCAGAAAAAAAGACTGCACTTTCTGTAAAGAAGTCTTGAGGAGGGATTGATAAGCCAATCAACAGCAGCCTTGCAGAATGGCTGAAATGTTCCTTCTGTTCTTTTCTAAGACACTTCCTAAGCAAACCAACAACTATTAAGTGGCTTATGTTCAATGTTTTGGAGAGCCTATCACCTTAATCCTATAAAATGTTTGAGAAGGTTTGAGAGCCAGGCAGCTTACAGACATTTACATTAGTTCTGTAGGAAGGAATTGGCCAAAGGTAGTTATAGGTTTAGGAAATGTGAGAAGCAAGAAGAATGCCCTAAATTTTAGTCCCAAATCCGTCAACACACTAACAACTCTGTAGTTGAAAAATTTTGCAAAAAAGGTATTTTATGAAATCAATTTTCAAACATTTAGATATAAATTATAATAACTGAAAGTATTCTTGGCCATTCTAACTGTCCAGAAGCAAAAATACTGTTGTTTGATGTAGTGTCAGACTAGAACATTAAGATTATATCTGTTGATTATTATTATGAAAATGTTAAATCATAATTTATAGCATCTTAAAATGTTTCTTCTCTTGAAAAGAGAAAAGAGGTAAACAGCTGAATTTAAAAAAAGCTCTCATAAACTTAGACGCAATCTGATGTAGGTCATGAATTTATAGTTGGAGTCTGTCATTCATTTGAAGTCATGAAAGGTTTGGGAAGAACAACAAGATGAGACAAGATGAGATTGGGAGGCCAATACTTTAATCCTCCAAGAGGGAGGAGATTTAAGCAAATAAGAAAAATAGAAATAAAAGAAAAGCTAAGACACTAAAATACTCTTGTCAGGATTTAAAAAAATGAAAAAGGTTATACAAAGATGAAAGAAAGTTGAAGAAACCTACATGTGCTACATTTTTCAGACATTTCACCTCCCTCAATCCTCCACGTCTCAGCAGACCATGAGCCAGACAAGCTGCTCACTGATTGGCTGAAAGAGCAGGGGGCTGATCCAGACACCATCGAAAAGGTGGATAATCTGTAGTAATATTAAAAATCTTGTCTTTCAACTTTCCATCATTGTTGGGTCTTTTTTAACAACGGTTTAATCTTTGGGTTGCAGTTTGTGATGGAAGAGTACACACTGACTGACATTCTGAGTGACGTCAGCAAAGATGACCTCCGCTCTCTTCGTTTACGGTATTCACACAACAACCATTAAAAAAACACTTTAACTTTCAGCTGTTTGACACTCAGCTAAGAAAGGTGTTTTCTTAAAAATTGTTTGCCATAGAGTCTAAATTTTGCCTTTGAGATTGGATCAGATATTTTTTCAATGATTTTTAGCATATTTAATATGAGTTCTTATATAAAATCCCAGTAGACTTTATAGCAAGGGACTGTAACTTATATCTGAACGATTTTTAGTTTTTTTTGACTGTTTTTTATTTCCTGCTCAGAGGCGGAGTCCTTTGCCGGATCTGGCGAGCCATTCAGCGACACAGAGAGCGAGAGAGGCTGACTGCTGACAAACACTCCAAAGGGGACGTATAACTGCAAGTCTAGCTCTAATTTCGGAGGAAATACGCGCACATTGACACATTACCAGCCCTACAGGGCCGACTTTTTCTTTCTCCTGCCTGTCTCCTTTGTGCCTTTTCACACTGACAGACTGAATCCATGCAGAGTCCTTACTGATCAGACCAAAGCACTTTAGTGCGGGCACTACTGTATGTATTTTCATGTATATTGAAATGTGTATTAGGAAATTTTACAATTATGGAAGCTGAGGTCTTTTTTTTTTTTTTTTTAGTATTTCTATCATATCTGAAAAGCTACTGTTTGTTGAAAGTGAGAACATTAACAGGTCTGTGGTTTGACCCTTTCAGAGAGCTCTGGTGCCTTAAATCGCTCATGCAGGTTTTGTAGATTAAATTCATATAGGTTAGGGACATTCTGCCTGTTTAAGCTAAATTGAATCTGGTTTAGGTCTGAGCAGCTCCAATTAAATGCTTTTTCTGCACAAATAACAACCAAAGGTTTTAATATAAAAGGCGATGTGAACTTTAAAGAATACATTTGTTTTAAATCCAGCCCTCTAGTTTTTTGTGGTGCAGTAAGCATAAGTTAGATTCTTTATTTATTTTTGACCCAACCCTTAGATATAATCTAAATCTATAATCTGTCATTAGGTTTTATATTAAACATCTGCAGGGAAACAGTTGCTGGACACCTTGTTTGGGCATATCAACAGTTTTGCTGGATGGGGTTATTAATGAGAATGTCTGGCATAAAAAGACACGAAAGACTGTCTTGACATTTTTTGCTGTTTTTTTGAGAGTTTAATTTAAAGTCGTAGGGAAGTCATATTTGAATGTCAAATCATTCTGGCTTAAACATGCATATAAATGTACACTTTATCAGAAAATATTTTAATCCTTTCTGTGTTTTTTTCCTTTTCCTTATCTTATGCAGGACAGTTAGTTATACGACAGCTTGTACACCTAATTGTAATTGTAATGTGGTGTAAACTCTCCTTACCTGTTTCCAATTATCGAAAAAATTAAAAAATAAAACAGCCGTATTATCGGGAAGAGAAGTATGCACCTTCACATGCATTAACCCAGTGGTTATGAAACTTTTGTTGCTGGGGCTCCCTTTCTTTTATAAGTAAGGTCCCCTAACACCTGCATGGAGCAACATCTCAAAAACTAAGTGCAGTAAATTATATATTGCAATAAGTAAACTAGAATCTCTTTAAATCATAAAAGTACCTCCTTTTAAAATGTAATTATTCTAAGTTTAACAGTTTATTTCACTGAATACATAATTGCTGTCAATTGAAAAAAAAGTGAACTACATTTTTTTATTGGCTTCCATCCTTTGTTTCAATTCACTGGAACGAGTTAACCAGATGATAAAAGGTACAATCTCATCATATGTCTACGATACGTTTGGCTTTAATAAGCAAGAAATACTGATCAGTAATGGGTTGAAGTTTTATTTATTGTGTAATCAGGTATGATGTACTTTACCATGTCAGCTTGTATTAGTTATTTTATACAGTCTACAGATGCACCAATCAGGTTTTTCTGATACTGATACCTGGGCTGAGCGTATTGGCCGACATCCGACACCGATCCCATTGAACTGTTGAATTAACCATACTTTATATCTCTCCATGTGAGTGAAGTCTTTAGCCTTGACATACTGTAAACATTGTTAGGAAAAGGACATCAAGATAAAAATACACTAGCAAGGGGGAAAACACTTTCTGTGTCAGAACTTATCTGGCAAATTTATTTCCATCTTGTCTTATGAGGGTTTACATTTCTTTTTCAAAAAGTTAAATAAGATACCTAGCGACTTGTTTGCGAACTTGTTTGCAAAATTTGGAAGGTTGCTTGTATTTTTTTGTTTCCATTAAGATGTTGTTATGCAATACTTCAAAATGCACATAAATTTTGTTAATAGATATTTGTCTGATATATAGCTTTAAAAGAATTGAACTCTCAAGGTCAGACATTTATTTAATTTGTTTTGTACCGCTCCCCCTTGTGAGTACAGTATCGTTGAACTGTACTGATCAAAAAACAGAACTAAAAAAACTTTTAGAGATGCGGGCTCAAGCTAGTTTGAGAGGCTCATTATCTTCAGTCACATGAACCCTGTACCAATAAAGTCTGAAACGCCGCTCAGCACAGAAGAAGCCGCTAAAAGCATAATAAAATACAATAAAATTCTCCAGTCATCTGGAACACGTCAGATACATTGATATATGTTGGAGATAAGTCCTGGATAAGTTACACATAAGTTATGCACAAGTTACTCATAGGTTTTGAAAAAGATAGACACCACGACTTATGAGTAACTTAAACTTAACTTATGTCAATGATCAGATAGCTTACCTGAGCCTACGCTGGCATCTGGAAATGTTGGGCATGCTCAAAATTCCTCTACGTACTTGACGTATGTTGACGTGTGCCACCAGCATGCTCTTATTTTTTTTTGCAAAGCGTACCCATAACTTATCCAACGTATGCCAGCGTTTTTGCCAGATTTTCGTACGTCAGGCGTACGCTGGCTAAACCATCAAGGTGTGACAGGTACTTGCACGAGCGATGCAAACAGCAACTTTTTTATCAGTGCATGAACGAGAAGAAATGGGCTGGTGTACACAGTATGCTCTCACACGCTTTAATAGGCGTTCCCTCTCGGGAGCAGGTACTGGGTTGTTTGTGTGCATTTTTTTTTCTAAATTGGAGAGGACGGGTCTTTTCAAAAAGTTGCAAAAATCCTCCACTATACCATTAAGTTGAGGTGTTTGGCCATAACAGACTTGAGTATTCTTCAAACTTGCCAGTTTGGTCTGAACTGAGAAGTTCAGCCCTGGTAGCATCATGTTATGTAGCTGTCCCTCTATGAAGGACACCAGTCTGTTCTGTGGCTTTTGCTACTGGAGGATCTGCTGCACTTTACAGAACAGATGGCTACATGGAAAGGCAAGGACATTATGGGGAAATATTGCAGCAGTATCTCAAGACATTAGATATGATGTTATGTTTGAATATAAATGCGTCTTCAGAATAGACAATGAACCTAAGCAGGTCACACATTTAGTCTCAAAGTGTCTCCTGCTGTTCAGCTGGTAGGATTAAACATTCCCCCGTTAAGCATTCATGCTGTACGTGAAACCAAGCGATGATCTGTACACATTTTCACCTTGAAACAATGCTTAAATAACAAACAAGTCTTTTTTTTATAGCTGACCTTGAGTGCATTCACATTGTATTTACCAGGAAGCTGCTGAATGTCAAAACATTTATTTCCCACAACAGGGAAACAAATAATTAAAAAAAAAAACATGCTGACATGTTCAGACACTTTCAGAAGAGCATTCTGTTGATCATTTTGCAGCAGCTCATGCATCGTTGGGAGGATATAACAAACGGCCGACTTGTGTCGTAACTGTTCAGTGGAAAGATTTGTCCTCACAGAAGGATTAAATTCCATCTTCCTCTGGGCATGTCATTAATTCCTGGAAGGAAAACAGCCCAAAGTTTCATGCATGAATGTGTGCACATTAAAAAGTGCGACTTAATGAATGCTGTTTCTAGTGTAGTAGTCAGTGGTTACAAAACTACTATAGAAATATAGTCCATGTGTCATATATTTATAACTCTTGTCTTCAGCTGTCAATGCTTAATGTGCTGCAATAAAAAGCATCCACAGTCGTGTCCTCATTTAATCCTCGGGTGAAACCACAGACCCAAACAAAATTTAAATTTATCAAAATGACTTATATTTAATAAATCTTCAGATTTGTTTGGAATAAAATGAAGTTTTCTCAATGCACAAATTATAAGCAAACAGAAGTGTTTTAGTTGGGATAAAAAGACTGAAGAGATCTTGAGCCTTGTGTTGTTCACAGGCCCCCATCTTACTCTCATGACACACCTTGACAGATATTAACTACTTATTATCATCTTTTTGTTTGTACGTGTGTAATTTATTGGCTAAAGCAGTCTTTTCTCCTGTTTTTTCTTTTTTGGTTTTGTTATTTTTGTTGTTATAAATCATTGTTTGTCTGCTTTGCAACTGCAATAAACTTATGAATGTTCTGAAAAATTGGCTGTGGGCTTCATATTTCTTGTCACTTTCTGTGCAAAACTCAAGTAAAAATATATAATTTGACTTCTAAGACTTAAAAGTCTCCATGAAACATAAATTACTTATTCTGTCATCTAGTATGTGAAAAAATAAATTCGATAACTGAAATGAGATGACAGAAGGTTTCTGTCTGTAAGCTACAAACTGTTTTTCTCCTGCAGTAGAGTCATTTATGTACATGTTTTAACATGGCCTGCATTCCTTCCATCGGTTTTATTTCCATCTTACTGATCCACCCTGTTTAGATGATTGTCTGACACCTTGAGTGTAGAGGGAAAGTTAAACAGTTGTTAGTAATTGATTATGCCTATTTATAGCTTGTCTCCAGGCGATCTTCGCAATAATTCCCATCTTTTTTTAAAGTACTTCTAATTTTGGAAAGCAAAAATACAAATTAACCATGTGATTTATTTGATCATTTAATAAACTGCCGTCAAGGGAGAGATGGGAGTTGTTTTTTTTTTTTTTTCTGTGTTGTTATGATGTGTTACATTTACATAGCAACTGGGAAGTTGGGGTGATGTAATTTTCGAGGTGATTCAAGTGTGCAGTTTGCCCCTTTTGGACAGTAGTATCCATGGTTTGCATATAGCCATTATAGTCACCATTACAAACATAACATTTATAAAAACAATCTTACTTGGTATTTTGTGCACATTTACACTGATGAAACATCTTGCCTTATCTGGATAGTAGTATGTATATACCGGACTGCATTTTAGTTGTTGGATAGACATTAAAAGTAAAAAAGCTTTACTACTGCTAGAGCAGGTAGCAGCCATAAATGCAGAAGTCAGCCATGGCCTTGTATCAAAGAAAAAGGAACAAATAATTAGCAGTTTGCTTTTCACCTCCAACGGCTAACTTTCTATAATAAAAATCCTTAAAACTATCACATTTACAAAGCAGTTATAAATACCTCAGATGGTTATATACATAGAAGTCTTGAGTTATTTACAGACAGTTGTATACAATTGTATAGTTTGGTTTCTCAGCAATAATATCCCAAAGTAAGGATAGGTGGTTTATTTTTTTGTAAAAATGATTTATTCTTTTAAAAGACTACTTAAAAAAAATCACATGCACAACCCCGTACCAGCTCCTGAGAGGGAACGCTATTAACCGTGCATGAGTGTGCACGAGCCCATTTCTCCTTGTGCACTCTCTGTTTAAAAGTTTCTGTTCTCATAGCTAATACATGCTTACTGTGCTCAAACGTCCTTACAGTAACCCCTAAATCCCTCAATCACTATATAGAGTGGACACTATATAGTGGACTTTATAGCAAACCCGGTTAACAACCCGTTCAGACAGTTGATCACTGCTTTTTGCTCAGTTGGTCACGTAACTCCTCCTTCACTGCGCGATATCTGCACCATCTTTACTATTAGTCACTGCTGTCGGATAGATACAGCCTGTGGTGACAGCAGGCCGCTGTGACAACTGTTAAAGAAAAATGATTATTTTTTAGACTTTATTACAGTTAATCTTATGGCATGTGTAAACACTCTCACTTGAACATATTTCTTAATTTTGAACAAGGCTGTGTTAATGATTTAAAACTACTAATGGGTAAGTATTCAAAGCACAGGAGGCCCCCCGCATTCCACAAGCTGTCTGTGAGAGCTTATCTTGTGTTTTATGACTTTAGGAATTCTAGATGCCAGGACAAGCTTTCCGCCTTTTCTTGTTAAAACAAAGAAGCAAATGACCCCAGATGTTTGCAGTAAATAAGGGGAAGCCCTAGCAGTGTCAGAGATGGCGTTTGGTTGGAGGACCGAGGGCCAGCCCTTTTTGAATGGATTAGATACAAGAGGATAAACCTTTCTAAATAGAAGAAAAAGATCAGATTTGCCCTTGCAACTCTCCAAAGATGTCTCTGTACTCTTTGCTTTCTTTCCTCCTATGTCAGGTAATGGAATGTATGTCTCTGTTGTTCTGCAGTTTCTGGTGTAGGTTTGTGCATTGTCTTATTTCTAAAGTGTATGCATTGTCTTATATTGGATTAAACTCTGTAATTCTGTGACGTCAACACGCAATGTTGGTTTTATTACCAAACGCAGCTCGCCGAGTGGACCTGGGGAAGGGAAGAATCAGAAGCCAATCTTTTTCCAAAGTTAACTATGTTAGAATATTTTCTTCCTTTACAATTGGGGGCTCGTGCCGGTTCTGGAATCTCGGCGAGCGGCTGTTTGGTCCTGATTGATCCGTTTCGGCCCGACGCTTCGGTGTGGTAAGACAGTATTTGATTATTTTTTAGTTGTCTGAAGCGCCGTGTGTCGTCGGACCGGGGCTGATTTGCTGTGTGCGGCCTCACAGAATTCAGAAGCTGCAGAGGTAGATAGGATCGCTCCTAGAAGAGTCGGTTGTTTAAGGATTTGAATAAATACACATTACAGGGAACTGTGGCTAGTTCAAACAGAGCCTTTACGTTAACTCTGACTTAAGCTGGGTTTTTTAAAAGAAGGTTTTATTGATTGATTAATTAATTAATTGATTGATTAATTAATAAAGATTAATTTATTCTATAACCCTGAGGAACAATGCCTGTGCCTCTAAAAAAGAATTTCGGGTGTCTGTGTATTAATTAGCAGGGGCTTGTATCAGCCGGAGATTTCGACTCATCTCCAGTGGACTTATAATTATTTGGGTTAATTGGATCGAGTTGTATCACTCATGGAAAAGGACTAATAGCAGGTTAATTGGACCGAGTTGTATCACTCGTGGGAAATAAAGGACTAATAGCAGGTTGGATCACCTTTCTTTGGCACCCTTAAGCGGGTTGCTTATAGTACAGGTGCTGGTCATAAAATTAGAATATCATGAAAAAGTAGATTGATTTCAGTAATTCCATTTAAAAAGTGAAACTTGTATATTATATTCATACATTACATACAAACTCATATATTTCAGATGTTTATTTTGTTTAATTTTGATGATTACAAATGACAACAAATGAAAATCTCAAATTCATCATATCAGAAAATTAGAATATTGTGAAAAGGTTCAAAATTGATGGCCCCTGGTGCCACACTCTAATCAGCTAATTAACTCAAACCACCTGCAAAAGCCTTTAAATGGTCTTTCAGTCTAGTTCTATAGGCTACACAATCATGGGGAAGACTGCTGACTTGACAGTTGTCCAAAAGACGACCATCGACACCTTGCACAAGGAGGGCAAGACACAAAAGGTCATCGCTAAAGAGGCTGGCTGTTCACAGAGCTCAGTGTTCAAGCACATTAATAGAGAGGCGAAGGGAAGGAAAAGATGTGGTCGAAAAAAGTGTACAAGCAAGAGAGATAACCGCACCCTGGAGAGGATTGTGAAACAAAACCCATTCAAAAATGTGGGGGAGATTCACAAAGAGTGGACTGCAGCTGGAGTGAGTGCTTCAAGAACCACCACACACAGACGTATGAAAGACATGGGTTTCTGCTGTCGCATTCCTTGTGTCAAGCCACTCTTGAACCACAGACAGCGTCAGAAGCGTCTTGCCTGGGCTAAAGAGAAACAGGACTGGACTGCTGGTGAGTGCTCCAAAGTCATGTTCTCTGATGAAAGTAAATTTTGCATTTCCTTTGGAAATCAAGGTCCCAGAGTCTGGAGGAAAAGAAGAGAGGCACTTCATCCACGTTGCTTGAAGTCCAGTGTAAAGTTTCCACAGTCAGTGATGGTTTGGGGTGCCATGTCATCTGCTGGTGTTGGTCCATTGTGTTTTCTGAGGTCCAGGGTCAACGCAGCCACATACCAGGAAGTTTTAGAGCACTTCATGCTTCCTGCAGCTGACCAACTTTTTGGAGATGCAGATTTCATTTTCCAACAGGACTTGGCACCTGCACACAGTGCCAAAGCTACCAGTACCTGGTTGAAGGACCATGGTATCCCTGTTCTTAATTGGCCAGCAAACTCTCCTGACCTTAACCCCATAGAAAATCTATGGGGTATTGTGAAGAAGAAGATGCAATACACCAGACCCAACAATTCAGAAGAGCTAAAAGCCACTATTAGAGCAACCTGGGCTATCATAACACCTGAGCAGTGCCACAGACTGATCGACTCCATGCCACGCCGCATTGCTGCAGTAATACAGGCCAAAGGAGGCCCACTAAATACTGAGTGCTGTACATGCTCATACTTTTATGTTCATACTTTTTAGTTT